TTTTTTATGGCTGAGTAGTACTCCATTTTATTAAAAAAACACATTTTCTTTATCCAGTCTCCAGTTGATGGGCATTTGGGCTGTTTCCAAGTTTTAGTGACCTACATCTTTTGAAAAAGACTTCTTCCATTTCTTAGATTTCCTTTTCAAATATTAAGCAGTGAACATCAACAAGCTAATTATGAGTTGAAATCCTCAAAGAGCTAACCTCTAATTCAGGCCAGTCTTCAGTTCACAGAATTGCTTGATAATCTGATGTTTGCCTGTTGTAATTTTATTGCATGTCAAAACATTCATTATAAGAGGAAAGAGAATTTCACTGTTCTTTAAAGGGAAAAATTGTAATTGAATTTTTGAGGATTTTTGTTAGGTCATAGTGATATTGCATACATAGCAGATTTAGATTTACAGGGTTTCTTAACCACTCAAGGAGTGGATTTCCCCATAAGAGTTTTAGACCCTGTTAATAGCATACAGATGGATCTGCCCCTGGATAGTGTGGGCTCGTTCCTTTTACACTTACTATTTTAATTTTAATTTTAATTCCTTCATTTTGATAACTTTAACTTTCATAGGAAAATCAGTTACCTATATGCCTTATGCTGAGGTCAGATGTGCTCTAGAACAAGAAGCATAGGTGCACAGTACCGCAGCAAGGTCAGCCTCACTGTGTAGGCTGTCTCCAAGAGAAGTCAGTAAAGCTGCTCCATAGCCCTATAGGAGTGGAGCCCGCTATAGTGTCCTGCCAGGTAAATTTTGCCCCTCTGTGCAGTAGCTGCTGCCATCTACCCGTAGATGGTCCATGTGGGTGTTTTAATCTTGCAAATAAACTGCTCTTCCAGGACATATCCTTGCTGTTTTAAAATGACTTTGTTTCTCTGCATTCCATTATCAGTTGTATTCAGTTGAGTTTCACTGGGCCACTGGGAAATTTTTGTTTCATGCATTTATATTGTGACATTGACTGGCTTTTCTTTTAAGAGAATATGTACTTTGCAAAAATCTTGAGTCTTTTATCCCCTCCAGAAATTTGAGTTTTCTGTGAGAGCCAGAATCCATAAATATTTCTCAGATTATGCCAGATGCAAAAAGGATATGTAATGGGATTGTCAGCCCAGTCTCCCCATGCTACAAAGTAGTAACAGGAGCTGTTTCTCAGAAGCTTTCCTTTTGCTCACCTCTGTTTTGAGGGCTCTAAAGTGATTGAGGAAAAAAGATAGTGAGCATTGATACTTGCCTTTGCTGAGGACAAATGGTTATAGTGAGCATCAGAAGCTCTGGTTTGAAAGGTATGCTTCAACCTCACAAATGCTATTGAGACTTGAATATGTGACAGAAAATTTAAAAATAGAACTGTTCATCCTTTGCTTCTCATCTCATACTTAGAATTTAATTTGTGATTAAAAAATTTAGGAGTGACTGAGATAGCCCGTGGCAATTAACTATTTCAAATCATATTTTCCTTTTTAAAGTCCTCCAGCCCGCTCCACATCAAATGATAACTAATCTGCCTGAAGGGGTTCGGCTTTCAACTACTCGACCAACCAGGCCACCGCCTCCTCTTATCCCATCTTCCAAAACCACAGTGGCTTCAGAAAAACCATCTTTTATAATGGGAGGCTCCATCTCACAGGTAAAATGGTTCTTCTTTATGGCATATTTTCTGTTGAACATTACTTTGGTAAAACTTTTTCCTCTCTCTCATGCTAATTTGTCACTATACTAATAAGCAATAATCTGTCTGAATATGAAACTGCCAGAGACAATGAACAGAAAATGCAGTAATTAGTATATTCCGTGGAACACACAGGAATTTTCAATGAGTTATACACCCAGATTGAGTGGCATGACATACCACTTGGTTTAATTTACCAAAGGCACATAACTGTTGGTGTAATGTAAATGAAAATGGAATTCATTCTCATATATTTGTTGAATATTTTAAAGGCTCTAAATATTAAATTGTAGGTGGTTGGTATTAAAAGCCATATTTTACTTTGGCCACTAAAACTGTCTTTACAGTACTTAAACTCTGATATGGCCTGATATTAGCAGTTAAATCAATTTTCAGTCATGTGTACAACGGTAGCCATATCATTGAGAAGTTATTGAACATTTCTATCCCCTTAGAAAGTTTTCTCCTTTCCTTCCTAGGCAGTCTCCCTTCCTACTGACTGAAGCAACCACTATTTTACTTTCTCTTGTCATAGATTAGTCTTGCCTCTTGTAGAACTTAGTATGAATGGAATCATACAGTCTCATTCTTCTGTGTCTGTCATGTCTGTCTCAGCATAATGGTTTTAGGGATTTATCCAGGTTTTTGTCTATAATCAGTTGCCTTTTATTTGCTGAATAATGAACATACTGGTTTGTCTATTCATTTTTCTGTTGAGGGGATCCTGAGTTGTTTATAGTTTTTGACTCCTGTGAATAAAACTGCTTTCCATTTATGTAGTATGTTCTTGGTGGACATACATTTTTATTTCTCTTGTATAATTACCTGCGAGTAGAATTTCTGGGTATATGTTTTACTTCATAATTTTACAGAGTGGTCCTACAATTTTACATAGCCACTAGCAATGTATAAGACCAAGTTGCTCTTGTCAGTGTTTTTCATTTTAGGTATACAGTACTTAGAAGGTGTGTTATATCTCACAGCAGTTATATTTTGTTTCTTCATGACAGCAAACCCATGTTCAGCACTTTGTTGTGTGCTAATTGACCATCTGTATTTCTGATTCTGAAGTGACTTCTGGTTGAGTATCCCTAATCTGAATATTTGAATCTGAAATGCTCCAAAATCTGAAATACCACAAGTGAAAAATTCTACACTGACCTTATATAACAGATTGTAGTCAAAATACAGGCACATTAAAAGTGTTGCATAAAATTATCTTTAGGCCACGTGTTTAAGGTATATATCGAGTATAAATGACTTGTGTTTTCAATTCAGTACCATCCCCAAGATATCTTATTAGACAGATGCAGATATTCCAAAATCTGTAAAAATATCCAAACTCTGGTCTCACTTCTGGTCTCAAGCATTTTGAGTAAGAGATATTCAACCTATCTCTAAGTCAAATTATCCAATTTTATTAATTCTTTTACTGGATTTTAGTAGTTCTTTATATAATTCAAAGTTCTTTGTTACATATATATACATTAGAAATGTTTTTTCTGTTTGTGACTTTTCTGTATATTTTCTTTGAGTGTCTTGATGAGAAGTTTTAATTTTTGATGTAATCAGTATATAATATTTTTCTCTCCTTTGGTTAGTTACACTTTGTTAGGAAATCTTTGCCTGCTCCAAGTTTGTGAAATATTCTTGTTTCTTATCCACAGTTTATTGTTTTGGCTTTTATATTTATTAAGGCTTGTGATTAGTCTCAAGTTAAATATTTGTACATTATGATGTCTAGATAGGCATTTGTTTTTCCATTTGGATTTCTAGTTCTGGGAACATTGGTTGAAAAGTCTTTTCTTTCCTTATTTGATTGCTTTTAGTGCTTTTGTTAAAAACCATTAACTAAAGACTGGGGATTTAGCTCAGTGGTTCTGCCACCTGCCTTGAAAGCACAAGGTCCCGAGTTTGATCCCCGGTACCAAAAAACCCACAAAAAACCAAAAAAACACCATTAACTAAAAGTTTGAGTCTATTAGTGCCATTTCCCTGAGTGACTTGCCAAGTTTTTGTCTCAATTTTGATGACTGTAAGTTTTAAAATTATTTAATGTTTAGTCTTGTTATTGTTCGTGAAAAATGTTCCAATTATTCTGTCTTTTGCATTTCCATATAGGTTATATAATCAGTGTTTCAGTTTCTTTAAAAAAAAAAATACCTGCTGGGATTTTGGCTGTTACCGGAATAAATCTGCCTATCAGTTTGGGAGTAGAAATAGACATCTTAACAGTATTGAATTTTGTAGTCCATGAGCATATGTATTTGTCTTTCTGTTTCCAGATCTTTAATTTCTTTCAGCATTGTCTTGTAGTTTTCACTTTAGAGGTGGTGTGCGTATTTTGTTATACTTATGTTTGGTTATTTCATTACTTTATGTTTTTAGAAATGATACTATCTTTAAAATTTGCATGTTCCAGTTCTGGCATACCTTGGAGATAGTTTGGTCCCGGACCATTGCAATACGTCAAATACTGTATCTCTGTAGAACAAGACAGAAGAATTTTTTCATTCTCTATTGCATGTAGAAGTTATGTTTACATTATAATATAGTTTTTAAAGTGTGCTATAACATCAAAAAATGTACATATCTTAATTAAAATACTTTGCTGCTAGAAAATGCTAGCAGTCATCTGAGCTACTGGAAAAAATAGCACTAATAAACTTGCTTAACTCAGGATTACCAAAAATTACCTTCAATTCTAAAAAACAGTACCTGTGGCATACAATATGAAATATGTCTGTTTATAGGAATGCAGTTGATTTTTGTATCTTGGCTTGCTCACTTGTGACATTTCACTTAGTGCTTCTAGTGGGGTTGTTTTGTTTTGGTAGATTTCTTAGGATTTTTTATTATGTATATCATCTGGAAATAAAAAGTTCTATTTCTTCCTTACAGCTTTCACTCTTTATTTCTTTGTGTTTTACTCCATTGGCTAGTAGAGAACTTTCTGTGCAATATAGGATAGAAGTGCTCAATATGAACATGAGTTTCTTGCTGATTTTTGAAGGAAGGCTGGATGTATTTCACTGTTATGTATAATGTTAACACAATTTTAAATGTTTCATAGATCCTTATATGTTTCTTTCCATTTGTAGTTTGCTAACAGACTCCTCTCTCCACCCCTAGATAATTTTCAGTCCTAGAATTTGTTTTGTTCATTTGTTTTGTTTTGTTTTGTTTTTTTGTTTTGTTTTGTTCATTTTTATGATTTCTTTCTCTTTGTTGGTATTCTGTGTTTGGTCAGTCATTACTTGTATATACTTAACTCTTGGACATGATTTCCTATAGTTCTCTGTGTAGCCTTTGTCTTATAGACCTTAGGGACAGTTTCTATTCATTTCTTCATTTCATGTTTATGGTTTACATTTTCTTGTTTCTTTTAATCTCTTGTAATTTTGGGTCCAAAACTGGACATTTTACATGTAACAACTCTTAGAGATCCTATCCCCCTAGGGCTTGTTTTAGCTTTGTTTTCCTGTAATTTGGTTATTGACTTTTCTGAATTCATTCTGTAAAGTCTGTATTATTTGTCATGTGTGGCCACTGAAGTCTACCCTTGGTTAGCGTAATGAACAGTTGATAATTGAACAGAGATTTCCTTTATTGTCTAAAACCAGCCTTTCTAAGTCTTTGCTGAGGGACTGTTTAGTGTGATGAGGCATGCTGTCAGCACTCAGCCAGCCAGTTGACCGTTCTGCTTTAAGGGCTCGCTTCTTGCTTTACAGAGTCTTAAGATCAGTCAGAGATGAAAGCTCAGGACCTTCTCATGACTTCCTAGGCACATGCACAGCCTTGTGCACATAGCTTTCTAGGTACCCAGGAATATATTGGAACTTTTCAATCCTTGTGAACATGTCACTTTTTCTTTTAAGCTTTCTGAATATTTCAGGCAGAGAGAAGTTCATCATTTGCCTCCATTTTCTTTTGGTACCGGGGATCGAATTCGGGTCCTCGCACTTGCAGGGCAGGTGGTGGTTGCCTCCATTTTTGACAAGCCTACATCTTTTCCCCATCCCCAGGTAGGTCAAATAAACACAGCTTTATTAATGGAGCATCCTAGAGACCCACCAGAGAAGTTAAATAATGAGAGTTGTCTCTGAATTAGGTTTTTAATAACCTCTATTCTTGTTCTTTCCCCTTAGGTGCCTGCCAGGCTGCTGGTTTGCACCATGATTGTGGGCTATTTGTTTTTTGTTTTGTTTTTTTTGGTAGCAGGGATCGAACTCTGGTCCTTGCGCTTATGCAGCAGGCAGCGAAACCACTGAGCTAAATCCCCAGCTAGGCTATTTGGTTTTAAGACTCCCACACAGCTTAGAGGGGAGGATGGAAGTGGCAGTAAAGTACATTAAATGATAAAACTCATGGTTCTTTCCTAGATTCATCTATTAGTCTTAAATAAATGCTCCTAGATTTGTGTAAATTTGATTAATTTCTAGAGTTCTTTAAAGGTTGATCTTGGTTTTTGCTGATGTTCTTATTGCAGGAGAGCTTTCAGAAGTCTTACCATTTTTGCTGATCTCATTCTTTGTAGCTTTTGTTTTTTTATGAGATAGGATCTCACTGTATACCATAGTTGATGCTGGTATTGAATTCACTGTGTAGCCCAGGCTGACCTCAAACTCTGCAATCCTCCTGTCTCAGTCAGCCAAGAGCTAGGATTACAGGCATGCACCACCACACCCAGCTTCCCCATAGCATTTTTAAGAGGGGAAAAAACGTTCATAGTAGTAGCTTGCATTCTGAGTGCAGTTTCAGTGCTTTATGTAATTTATTAATAGTAAATATTACCTACATGTAATTCATGGTAATGTCAGAAAACATGTCTTACTGCCCTTAAAATTTTTAGGAATTTAATCTATGCTAAAGTTTTTCTTGCTTTACAAATACTTTTCTTGATTTTAGGTGGCAAGGGTATAAAGTTTTATAAACAAATGTGAACATTGACTTTATAAATGACCCTGAAAAAGGACAGTGTTTAGTCTTTTAAAATTGTGTTATAGGGAACACCTGGCACTTATCTGACTTCTCATAATCAGGCTTCCTATACTCAAGAAACAGCTAAACCCTCAGTGGGGTCTATTTCTCTCGGATTGCCACGGCAACAAGAATCTACCAAATCAGGTCAGTGAGTTAATAAAGTTATAATACACCTATATTTATAGCATCACAGCCAATAATTCATTATTTGATTTCTTCATATTTCCCTTGGTTTCATCCACAGCTACTTTGCCCTACATCAAGCAGGAAGAATTTTCTCCCCGAAGCCAAAATTCCCAACCTGAAGGTTTATTGGTCAGGGCCCAGCATGAAGGTGTGGTCAGAGGTAAGATCATGACCAATTTGACAAAGACACTTAATGACAAGTTTTCAAGTTATTGCCTTTAAATTCTAAATTTAGGGTTTTTTACCATGTAAAAATGATTTTAAAACTTTGAAGTTTGGCTATGCGTATAGCTCAGTGTTAGAGCACTTTGCTTATTATGTGTGAGGCAAGGAAGCTGATCTCAACACTGTGCAAAAACATAACAGAAAACACTGAAGTTCCTTATTTCAACAGTCCCTTTAAATAATTAAGTTATTATTTTAGACGTACGTTTCAGTAGTGGCCCCCTCTTCTTTTTCTACCAAGTACAGGCCAGTTTTCTGGTTCTTTCAGTTTCTCTTGGGCCAGAGATAAGGAGGGTAATTTGTTAATGATTTTGTTTTTATTCAGGTACCACAGGAGCCATCCAAGAAGGAAGTATAACTCGGGGAACTCCAACCAGCAAAATTTCAGTAGAGAGCATCCCATCTCTACGGGGCTCTATCACTCAGGTTAATTATCATCTCAAATGTACTATACAATAACTAAGAAAAATCTAGATGTCTCAAGAGCTTTGGCTTTTCCATCAGTATAGTTCTGTAGTTGAGTTATTCATTTCTCTAGATTATGGATCTGGGTCTCAGTGATAATAAACAGCAGATCTACAAACCGTCTGCATAATGTGATCAATTTAACCACAAGCTATATTTTTATGCAGTGGTTCATTTGAAAAAAATTGTTTGCAAAATGGCAGAAGAAACATGCTTTATTGTTGTAGCTCTTACTGTCTTCCTGGCAAAACTTTTACCATATATTCAGCTTAAATAAAAATCAAGATCATTTCACGTAATATGCTTGCTTTAGCCCTTTGTAGGTCTGTAATCTCATAAGCTACATTGTTTGAATCTAATGTGAAATAAGGAATGTGGGTGGTGTTGACAAAAGCACAAAAGGTCAAATATCTTCTCCCAGTTTTGGGCTAAATATATCACCGGTTTTTTCCAGCTAGGCATGGTCATGCATGCTGCACTCCCAGCACTCTGGGAAGCTATGGCAAGAGGATCACAGGTTCAGTCCCAGACAGAGCAATTTAATGACTCAGAACCTGTCTTAAAATAAAAAAGAGCTGAGGATGTATCTCACTATGAAGGCCATTTTTCATTAATTTAAGTTCATTTTCCTCAATTTGATGTTAATTTTAAATTGTAATATAAAAGTCCTTAGCTTCTTTGATCATGTAGATATAGTAAGGGAAAATTCTGTTTGGATAAATCATTATAAACTATTTTTGTGTATTGACACATGCTTTTGCACATACTGTCACATATTTTCTCTTGTTTGTCTTGTTCCTGTTCCCTAGCACAGTGTTTCTTAAAGTGTGGTCAGTAAGCCAGTACCATCAGTATCACTTGGAAAGTTGATAGACATAAATCCTCAGGTCTCATCTTAGAGGTGGGTCTAGCAATCTTTTTCTGAGCCTCCTTTGATTCTGCTGAGATCTTAGTAAGTGTGGTCTGTGCACCAGAGCATCAGCATTACTTGGGAGATTGCAAAAATGTAGTCCTCACTCCAGACTTTATGAATTAGAATCTCTATTTTAAGAAGATTCCCAGGTGATTCCTCCTTGAGACATGGTTCATATAGTATACACATAATAGTGATCCAGATAGTTTCGTACTAACTCTTCATATCTCTCCTTCCACATTTGGCTGAAGTATGTGCTTTCAGAGCAGACTAACATTTTAATATGGTCAAAAGAAAAAGAAATGGACCTATACATTTTTTTCATATTTTTTCTATTTATTCTAGTATCCAGACATTAAGTAGCAAAATAGTAAAGAATTAGGTGAGATGAAGTTAAGTTTCATCTGTTTGTTTATAAATGTCAGTTCATTTGACGTGAGCACTTCTGAGGTGGGTGTTAGGATTTTCAGATGTTTACTACTAAGTTCATTTCATGACTAGATGAGTTAAATATATTATTCTTATTGCTCTCCTTGCTATATGAATGTGGTCTCAGATAATACTCACTGGAGTTTTAGGGGCCCTCAGAGAAAATTAGGAGCCCTACATGTGTCAGTGGGCCTCTACTCCCATCACTCCCAGTTGGAGTTGCCAAGCAGCTCACTTTTTTTTTTTTGGTTTATTGAGACACAGTCTTGCTATGTAATTGAGTCTGGCCTTGTACTCACTATGTAGCCTAGGCTGGCCTAGAACTCACAGCAGTCCTTCTGCCTCAGCCTCCCGAGTGCTGGGACTACAGGCGTGTGCCACCACACTCAGCCCAAGCAGCTCACTTTTGCAAAGTATTCTACTAGGTTTCATGAACCATTTCTCTTGAAGGAAGCATGAAAAGACTATGGTCATTGGCAACCCAGAAAAGGATTAATGATGGTGAAAATTCAGATATGATCTAAACTAAGTGTTACAAAACAAAACACCTCTTTTTTTTTTTGGTGCTGGGGATCGAACTTGGGTCCTTGCGCTTGCTGGCACAGCAGGTGGCGAAACCATTGAGCTAAATCCCCAGCCCAAATCTATTGGTTAAAGTGGTGGAACAAATGTTATCACTACACTTTTTTTTTTCTGGGTTTTTTTTGGGGGGCGGTTACCAGGGATCAAACTCGGGTCCTTGCGCTTGCGAAGCAGATGGCGAAACCACTGAGCTAAATCCCTGGCCCTTTTCCTATCCTCTTAATGATGATCAAGGGCTATCCCATTAGAAATTTAATAATTGAAAATTCTTTTTCCTCTTATTATAATGTAAAAGTTGTAATACACTAAAACTTAATTTGTCAGACCTTTTTATTAGAAATTTTGTAAACATTTTATCATATTTGCATGATTTTAAATCTTAAGGCAAACTTCTGAAAGTTAATTCCCTTAACAGAAGTTTAACTACGAGGTGGGGAACAAAGCTGATTCACCTAGCATTGTTTAAGAAGTTTTTATGACAGGGTTCAAGAATGAAGGTACAGGATTTCTTTATATTTATAAAAATTGAATGTCAAAAAAAAATTGAATGTCTGATTTCTTCTCATGTACTCGTGTTCTCTTTGAAGATACAAATCTGGTTGTCAGTAGAGCAGGTTAAATTTTCTGAATATCTTGCACCTCCTCCAGCCCTAAGTGACTTTCTCGGTTCCTGTGTTTGATTTGATGGCAGGGGACCCCAGCTCTGTCCCAGGCTGGCATACCAACTGAGGCTTTGGTGAAGGGATCCATTTCTAGGATTCCCATTGAAGAGAGCAGTCCTGAAAAAGGCAGAGAGGAAGCTGCATCCAAAGGCCATGTTATTTATGAAGGCAAAAGTGGACACATCTTATCATATGATAGTAAGTATTGTTTGTATACAATGAAGCCAATCTTGTAGTAAACACACAGATTCTAGTTTTCTCACATTCTTGCCATGAGGAAGTCAGTTTACATTTGCTGAATATATTTTCTCTCAGTGAAAAGGTTTAATAATAATGCCTCTTTAATGAAAGTTTTATGAAAAATCTATTGAGATAGTGAAAAGTTATTAACAGTGCTGAGCCCCTAGGAAGTGTCATGTAAGTGGTAGCTAATATCATCATTGACTACTCATTAGACTAGGAAAAAAATTTTTTCATTAGATTTAATGGAATCACTTTCTTTTTATTTTTGATTGATTGATTGTGGTACTGGGGATTGAACTCAGGACCTTAATGCTTGCCAGGCAGGCGTGACACCACTGAGCTGTATCCCTGGCCCAGAATCACTTTTATTTTAATGAGATTCATATTGTATGAGGCAAGAATTGGGAAGTAGATGATTTGATAATCATGGAAAGAATTTTTAAATTCTCCTTAATTTATTTTAATTTCTATTTCTATGTGTACATATAAACATTTTCTTTAGATGTATTGTTATATTTTCCCTGTAGTGTTATTTTATGAGAATGATTCAAGTGCGATGCTAATATTAGCCAAAGGACTGAATTTGAGTTCTTATCCATAACTTATTGTGACCTTAGTCACAAGCTATACATCATCTTTCTCTTCAAATACAAAGAGATAAAGTATGTGCATAGTACCTGCTGCTATAAAATGCATGGCTATTTTCTTCTTTTTTTTTTTTAAAACATTTCTGGTGTATTTCAATTCATAGTTTGTTTCTGGGGCAGAAAGAGAAATTAATTTTTTTATTCTCAGTCTTATTTTTTTATTTTTTGATTAAGTTTATTAGTACATTTTAGGTATACAATACAGTTACATTCATCTTTGGGATCTTGTACCTTTACATGATGTGTCTTGGTTCTTATTTTTTCCCTATTCCCCTGCCCTCCATTCACCCCCTCCACCCTTCCCTATTTACAAAGACTTTGTTTCCATTTTCTCCTTTTCTCATGTTTTTTTCTTTTCCCTTATTTCCTTTCCCCTACCCCTCCCACTTCCCCTATTCCTTTAGAACTTTTCTTCCTATTTCAACTATCAATTGTGCATTTTGATCCTTATTTACACTTTTAGTTTTTCACACCAGAGAAACTATTCAGTTTTTACATGTTTGTCCTATTTATTTTACTTAAGAGTATGGCTTCAATGTGCATCCATTTAGCTATAAATGTCTCTAGTTTCTCATTCTTTATGGCTGAGTAATACTCCATTTTATAAAAAAAACCACATCTTCTTTATCCAGTCTCCAGTTGATCGGCAGGTAGGCTCTTTCCAAGTTTTAGCTATTACAAACTGTCCCACTATAAACATGGGTGTGCATATATCACTGTGGTATGATGCTTTTGATTCTTTTGGGAAGATACCTAGCAGAGGAATGGTAGGGTGAAATGGGACCTCTAATCCTAGTTTTCTGAGGTATCTCCATATTGATTTCCACAGTGGTTGCACTAGTCTGCACTCCCACAAACAATGGAGAATGGTTCCTTTCTCCCCACAACCCCCCCAGCATTTGTTGTTGGTTGATTTCTTCATAGCAGCCATTCTTTCTGGAATGAGGGGGAATCTCAATGTTGTTTTCATCTGCATCTCTGGAATGACCAGTGATGTTGAACATTTTTCGTGTGTTTACTTGCTTCTTTTACTTTGTCTGAGAGATGTCTGTTCATTTCAGATGCCCATTTTTGGATTGGGTCTTTATATTTGAGGGGTCTGATGTTTTTGAGTTCTATATATATTCCAGATAGTAGACCTTTGTGTGAGGAACAGCTGTAAAATTTTTTTCTCCGCATTGTAGGTTGTCTCTTAGTTGCTGTTGGTGGTTTCTCTTGCAGTGCAGCTTTTTAATAAGATGAGATTCCAGTTATTGATTCTTTTTGCTAGTTCATGTGCTACTGAGGATTTGTTCATGAAGTCTTTTCCTATGCCAAGGTCTTCGAGAGTTCTACCTAACTTATCTTCCAGCAAGTTTAGTGTTTCTGTTTTAATATTTAGATCTTTAATCCACTTTGATTTTAGTTTAGTACATGGTGAAAAATAGGGGTCTAGTTTTAATCTTTGGCGGGTTGAAATCCAGTTTTTCCAACACCATTTATTAAAGAGGCTATTTGTCAAAGATGAGGTGGCTAGCGGCCGGGGATTTAGCTCAGGTGGTTTTGCCGCCTGCTGCGCAAGTGCAAGGACCCGAGTTCGATCGCCAGTACCAAAAAAAAAAAAAAAGATGAGGTGGCTGAGTATGTCTGGTGTTGTTTCTGCATCTTTTAATCTATTTCACTGATCCTCAGGTCTGTCTCTTTGCCAGTACCATGCTGTATCACGGTGGCTTTGTAATATAGTATCAAGTTGGGGATTGTGATACCCCGTCATGTCTTTGTTGCCTAGAACTGCTTTTGCTAGTCTCGGCCTCTTGTTTCAAGTAAATTTTTGGGTTGTTTTCTCTAGTTCTGTGAAATAAACTGCTGGGATTTCAATCGAGATTGCATTGAATCTATATAGCAGTTTTGGAAGTATGGCCATTTTCACTATATTGGTTCTTCCTACCCAGGAACAGGGGATGAGAAAAATTAATTTACATTATCCAAGCCAGAAATCCAGGACATCTTTCTTGTCTGCTTCTTTTCTTTCCACAGCAAACAAATCAGAGTCCTTTCTATTCTATTTCATGTGGTCTCTGGAATACATCTATTACTCTGTATTCCTCCCTGCCACTGCTATCTTTCATTTGGACAACTGAATGGGTCCCTAACTAATATCCTTGTCTTTAGTCATACCCATATTCAAAGCTATACATGTCCTTCCTTTCTTGCTTTCCATTGCCGTTAAGATAACTGCAGGTGCCCTCCCTTGATTTCATCACCTTTCCGTGATATATTTCCTGATTACCACTATGGAGGGTTTCCTTCAAACTTTCTGCTTCACCCTTCTGTGTCCCCGCCCCCCCTTCCTGATTCTACTCTTTTTTTTTGGTACCGGGTATTGAACTCAGGACTTTGCACTTTTGAGGTAAGTGGAAGCACCACTGAGGTGAATCCCCGGCTCCCTAACTCCACTCTTATAGTCACCATATACTGAAGTTCTTGTAATGTACCATACTCTGTCTTGCCTTCAGGTCTTTGTGTTCACCATCCTCTCTGCCTGTACTCCTTTGTCTTTTAGCTAACCAATTTTTACCAGTTGTTTAGTTCTCAGCTTACATATTACTATTTTCTGGGCAACCTTATCAGAACTTGCAGGCTGCAGGTTTCCCTCCCAGCACCGCACAACACATAGTATTTCTCCATCACACTGAACAGTAACAGCCTATTAAATTATCTGAAACCACCACTGTTGAGTAAGTTTTATGAGGAAACAATTTTTTAACCTTACCTGCAAGCCTAGCTTAAGCTTGCCACACTGTAGTCATTTGATAAATATATTAGAATTAATGAAAACATTTTCAGGAATGCCAGTAATATGCACAGATATATATGTGCTTATGGCAAGTTTTTATCTTCCTTTGTTTTTTAAAGGACACTGTGAAATTAAGGTAATTTATTTACTAAACATGGTAGACCTTGAATTTGTCTGAAAAGTTCTTGTTTTCAATGTTCTGTAGATATCAAGAATGCTCGAGAAGGGACTAGGAGTCCAAGAACAGCTCATGAAATCAGTTTAAAAAGAAGCTATGAATCAGTAGAAGGAAATATAAAACAAGGAATGTCAATGAGGGAGGCTCCTGTATCGGCACCATTAGAGGGTAAAGTGTCTTTTCCAGAACTTTATTTGGATATATTTAATTTTGTATAGTAAGTTTGCATTGTTGAATTAAGTTGTTTTCAGTCTTTCATTTCTACCTAAAATTTACATTAACATAATTTTAAGTTTATATTATTATTATTGTATCTGTATAAATCAGGAGGCACACGACAATAAAATAAAAATTGAATGTAATCATAACATAGATAACTTAGCTAATATTTGAGTACCCATAACATTTGTAGATTACTTCCTTTTGGAGTTTAAGAATGGAAAATTAATAAGGTGAGTAGGTTGGTTTATATGCCTGTAACCCCAGCTATTTGGGAGGCTTAAGGAGGGGGATCTTGAGTTCAAAGCTAGCCTGGGCAACTTAGCAAGACCTTGTCTTAAAGGAAAAGAAAATAAACAACAACAAATTTAAAATGTATTATGAAAACTTTTTGTTTTAATTTTGAAGCTGATATAAAGTGATAAGTAATTAATAAAGACATAAATTTTAATTCTAGCCTTACTCTTTCCTAGTAGACTTCTCTGTGTCCATTACTTCCTCTGTAAATTAAGGGATTGTACCCAGCACTGCATGAGGATTAAAGACAGGTCTCCAACTTCATGCTGATCGTGTGATATACATTCAGATGATCACTATGGTTTGGTTTGGTTAACGACTTACCTTCTTTAAGTCTCAACCTTTCCCAACTAATTTTAATCTATGTGAAATACTAAAACCAGGGTAAGTCCTGTGTAACATTCTACAAGCTGGATTTTCACTATTTAAAAAAAACAAATATTATTTACCTTTAGGATAAATATATATGGTTATTTTCAGCCTTTGATTCAAATTTATTGACAGTATAATGTGAAATTTCTTTTTTTTTGTTTGCTTGTTGTTGTTGGTTTTTTTTTTTGCCACTGGGGATTGAACTTGGGACCTTGCGCTTGTGAGCCAGGCACCAGAACCACTGAACTAAATCCCCAGCGCCACCCCCGCCCCCTTTTTTTTTTTTTTTGAGACAAGGTATCACTCTGTATAATCCAGGCTGGCCTTGAACTCACTATGTAGTCCAGGCTGGCCTTTTGGGGCAGTTTCTGCCTCAGCCTTCTGAGTGCTCTGATTATAGGCATGCACCGCTGCACCTGGCTAATGTGAAATTTCTTAAGAGGTTATTTATAACTTTTCAATTAGATTTGTGTGTTTCCATTTATTTTCTGTTTTGTTTTGTTATCCATATTTCACATTTTCCCTTTATCCCAGGTGTAATTCAGGGCTAAGCAATGATTTTCCAATCCTGTCTGCCTTTGATAAAAAATAATTGGGATTTTAGATTTAGCTTCAAAGTTTGTCTTTTTTGATCTGTAATTAGGTGCCTTCTGTGGCCATTTTGTATTTAGGATAATGTTTCTGAAGAACTGTGTGATGCTATATTAAGTATTTCTGACTTTTATTTTTTCCATGATAATATTCTTCTGGAAAGTATACACATTTAAAATGACATCTCTTCCCCTATAGAGCCTTTATCAAAAAATATACTCTTAAGAAACTGTATGTGGGGCCAGGGATTTAGCTCAGTGGTGCTGCTCCTGCCTTGTAAGCGCAAGGTCCTGAGTTTGATCCCTGGTACCAAAAAGAAAGAAGGTATATATGAATTGCCATATACTTACGTTTAATAGTTGACTTTCTTATTTCCAAAGGGCTGATATGCCGAGCACTACCCCGGGGGAGCCCTCATTCTGACCTCAAAGAAAGGACTGTGCTATCTGGCTCCATCATGCAGGGTAAACTTTCTGTTTGTTTTACCCTTTTTAACTGCCTCGGTGGCATGTTTTGCCACTAATTTGCAAAGCATAAAACCTGCTTTTCAAGATTTTTTACCTTTTGAAATATTAAGTCTTAGCTGTAACTTTTTCATCTCTGAGCTGTATAGTTTCTTGGAAGATTATCACTGCCTAATCTTTTAACTTAGAGATGTCTTTACTATATGTGAACTGTTCTGTGACTGTGACAAATGTTTATTGTATCTTGAATACCTCTACAAAATAATGATTAATGAATACTTATCTGAGGATTTTTAAATAGAAAATTTATTAGAAACTGCAAGATGGCAAGGCATTACTTTTTTTTTTAAGGCATTACTTTTTAAATTGAAAAAATTTTGGCAAAATTTATGTTAGAATTTACTATTTTGACCATTTTTAAGAGTATAATTTAGTGGTGTTTTTGTGCAACTGTCAGCATTATTTTAATAAATGTGTTTCCTAAATTCATTTGAAGGCACACCAAGAGCAACAACTGAAAACTTTGAAGATGGCCTTAAGTATCCCAAACAGATTAAAAGGGAAAGTCCTCCCATACGAGCCTTTGAAGGTGCCATTACCAAAGGAAAACCATATGATGGCATCACCACCATCAAAGAAATGGGACGTTCCATTCATGAGATTCCACGGCAAGATATTCTAACTCAGGAAAGCCGAAAAACGCCAGAAGTAGTCCAGAGCACGAGGCCAATAATTGAGGGTTCCATTTCCCAGGTAATTAGATCATGGCTCTTTTTGTCAGCAATTCCACTTCAGACTGATATATATGAATCATTTTAAGAGTGTGACTTAATAGCTATAAGTATTTCTTATTGTGTCAGAACTCTTGGAAGTAAACAAAGTTTTTTGTAGTCTATATCATCAGTTTTTGTTTTTGCTTTTGTTTTTTTTAATCCATAGCATGGAGTGAATAATGGGGAAAAGAACTCAGGGTCCCTGAGTTGTGAGACATCCACACAGATTGTAAAGGTCACGATGGCAAAGTGTAACTGCCCATGGGGCAGATTTAGACCCCAGATGGAATGATATCCAGATGACTTAGTTACCTATAATGTTTGTTTCTTTCCCTTTAGGGCACACCAATAAAGTTTGACAGCAACTCAGGTCAATCTGCCATCAAACACAATGTCAAATCCTTAATAACGGGACCCAGCAAACTACCCCGTGGAATGCCTCCACTGGAAATTGTACCAGAGAGCATAAAAGTGGTGGAACGAGGAAAATATGAGGATGTGAAAGCAGGTGAGCCAGTACGTTCCCGGCACACATCAGTGGTGAGCTCTGGCCCCTCTGTCCTCAGGTCCACACTTCATGAATTACCCAAAGCACAGCTGAGCCCAGGAATTTATGATGACAGCAGTGCTCGGAGGACCCCTGTGAGTTATCAAAATACCATGTCCAGAGGCTCACCTATGATGAACAGAACTTCTGATGGTATGTATCTTCATTACTTGCTCCAATCATTTTTACTGGGTTTTCACCTCTGGCAAATAAGAAATACAAAATCATCAGCTTTAGACTATTACAGGAAGTATAGGTTGTCCTTGATACTAGGGCTGTAGAAAGCTACTAGTTTATAATAGGCATAATTTTACATAAAGCACTAGTGTTTAAATAAGTGCAGATCTGATGAAGTTCCAAAGTTCTCTAGAGTATATTTTAAAGTAGGTTTTCAGCTTGTTGTTTTAGATCTTTCTTTGAATTTGTTTTGTTGTTCTCAAGTGAAAGTGTAGTCTGAAAGTTTAAGGTCTGGAACTAAATTAAAGCTCTTACTGTGTAAGCTTAGACAAGTTAGCTTTTTATTTTTCTCATCCATAAAATGGTAATGTACTACTAAAACCTGCCTGCATTTTTGTGAGGATGAAACATCTGAAGAACTTAGGAAAGTACCTAGTATATACAAAGGATTCGATAAATGTAAACTATTCTGTTTTCATCGTAAAACAGTTGCTGGCAACTGTGTCACTAGGGGAAGAGTCATTAATTTTTTTACCAGCTGGCTCTGAAACTCTTAAATATGCATTCACTTATTTTTAATTTTATTGTCATATGGACTTATTGAGGGCTCATTCCTGTGTGGATAGTGAGATGTACAGTGAACAGTGTTTGGGGGAGAGAGGAGCAACACAGGAGGAGCAGGAGGGAGAAAAATGCCTGGATATGCATAGAAGGATTACACCAAACCTTTTGGCTCTAGTTTGGAAAGATAATTATCCTGCAGAAAGGAAAGGTACTATACGATTGAGCAAGTTGGGACATGGAAGGAGTTGTGATAAACTACTGTGATTTCTTAGTTTTGACTGGCAGATTTGTTTGATCATGGCAAAAAGTACTATCAAAATTTTAGTAATTAGATGGTAGTACTATGACTGCACAACATCATGCATGTACTTAATGCCACTGAATTGTACTTTTTAAAATGGCGTGTTTGTCTGGGCATGGTGGCACACACTTGTAGTCCCAGCACTTGGGAGGCTGAGGCAGGAGGATTGCCACGAGTTGCAGCCTAGCCTGAGCTACATAGTGAGTTCAAAGCCAGCCTGAAGTATATAGCAAGATCCTGTCTCAAATTAAAAAGGTATGTTTATTTATTTAGAGTGTGTGTGTGTGTGTGTGTGTGTGTGTGTGTGTGTGTGTGTGTGTGTGTGTGTGTGTGTGTGGTACTAGGGATTGAACCCAGGGCATTTGCTCTGGATTCCCAACCCTTTTGATTTTTTATTTGAGACAGGGTCTCTCTGAGGCTCTTAAGTTGAGCTTGAATTTGCAAACTTCCTGCCTCAGCCTCCCAAGGAGATGGGATTACAGATATGTGCCACTCTGCTTGGGTTAAAATGACACACTCTTATTTTACCACAGATTGGTGATTGTGAAGGGCCTGGATATGATAAGCAAGGATGGGGCATTCTAACCATTCTGAATAACATCATTTAGAAAAGGGGAAGCTAGAGTAGGGAGGAAAACAGATGTTTGTTGAGGTGGATGTTGTTGAAATAATGAGAAAGTCATTGCAAGAGCAGGACAAAGAAAATCATTAGTGTAACTCAGGATTGGCAGGTAGCAAGGTGGTTGGGAAACACAGGCAATGAGAGGAAATTGAGGATTGCTACAGGTGGGCCCAAAAGAATTTAGAATGTTACTGTCATGCAGAAAATAAAGTCATTTGAAATGGAATTTCATTAACTTCATAATCTCATCATAAGATGAAACAATACCAGTGGGACTTTACCAAAGGGGACAGTCTCCAGGTTGCAAGGCTTCCTAGTATTTCCTTACACTTGCATATTCTGCAAAGTTGAATGTTACGTATTTAGGAGAAAGAAAATCAAACTGTATATATATAGTTGAGAAATGAATAAATATGATCATACTTTGCTTGTCTTTCTTTTTCTCTATTTTTAAAATTTATTCATTCATTTTTGAGAGAGAGAGAGAGAGAGAGAGAGAGAGACTGGGGATTGAACCCAGGGCCTTTGCACTGAACTACATCCCTAGCCCTTTTTATTTTTTATTTTTATTTTTTTGAAGGCAGGGCATCACTAACTTGCTCATACTGGACTCAAACTTTCAATCCTCCTACCAGGACTCCCAGAGTGCTGGGATTACAATGTGCCACCACAGCTGGCCAGCTAGTTTTCTTAAGAATTTTTGGCATCGGCTTTTTTTTCCAGTTACGATTTCTTCTAGCAAGTCTGCCAATCATGAAAGGAAGTCGACACTGACCCCTACTCAAAGGGAAAGTATATCAGTCAAGTCTCCAGTGCCTGGGGTGGATCCTGTTGTGAGCCACAGCCCGTTTGATCCCCATCACAGGGGCAGCACTGCGGGAGAGGTTTATCGGAGCCATCTTCCCACACACTTGGATCCAGCCGTGCCTTTTCACAGGGCTCTGGATCCTGGTAAGCATGACATGTACTGACAATCTGTGGCAGAGAAATAATATACTTGTGTAACTTTAAAACTTTCTGTTATAGTTAAATATGCAGATAACTGTACATATACAGCTCAGTAAGTTTTTGCAAACTGAACACCCCATGTTATCAGCATCCAAATCAAGAAATAAAAAAATTGCCAGTGCCATTTAAAGAACTTAAAAATACTAAAGTACCTGAAAAGCCATGTTATTTGATGGTAATTGCTGAAGCTAATTGAAAAAGTGGGTAAATGTGAGGCATTACTTTTAAATGACAGGCATAACTTAAACATGCTAAGTGACAGTAGAAAGAGATATTTGCTTACCTAAGTCTTGATCTAAGTTCCAGGTTGAGTTTATTTTTTTTAAGTGAAGCTAGAATTTAAAGATAGTTTCAAGTAATCCAAATATAGAATCTTTCTAGATTTTTGTCCAGTCCTTTAAAATTGTGGCGTGCACACCTGATTGAAATTTTTTATTGAGTCTTTCCAAAGCAGCCAACTTAATTTTCAAAGAAACAACTCCTTTTCTTCCTCTTTCATTGATTTCCAGACTATTTCACTAGCTATTTAATTTAGTGACAAGTACAGCTGGAAGAAATTTGTCAACAAACATCTTTAATGTTGGTGGACATGGTTCTGGTAGCTGCAGAAGTGTTCAGGTTACCAGAGAGCAGTCTGTGCTGGCCTAGAACAACAAATTTTGTGCAGTGAGAAAAGAGGAGTTGTCACATCCCAGGTCTTTGCCAGGCTCTTCCTCATGGGCCCTAGTCCTTGCTCCTGTTTGCTGCTGTCAGCTGAGCCTCAGTCACACATATGTGCTCTCTACTCAGACCTCCAAATTCATTTCTTGTTACATCCTTTGAATTGAAATTGGAACACAAAATACTTGTGTCTTACCTTGGAAAGCAGTTTTTCATGATTAGTTAATATGCCTAATTAAAAAGCTAAGAATTCTAAAAATTTATATTTTATAGCAGCTAAAAACCTGTACAAAATATTTTACTTGAGTTCTGTCAGTGCCATCAAATTATTTGTTGCTTGAAAAATATTAAGTTTCAGAGGAGCCCAAACCTGGTATAGAGTCCCTAATATTACAATGGTTTATTCCACTTAGAGGAGTTTTAAGCTTTGTATTGGTTTGAAAGTGATAGATGATCAGGGGAAACTATTTCACATTGTGAATTTGGATCTTTTCTGAGGCTAGTGACATGGTCCAATCCTCTCACTTTGCTGGGCAATAGCAGTGAGCCACAGTTCCTAGTGAGCCCTGCAGTCCCAAGGGAAAACACCAATACTGTAGACTCTGCTGTGTTATTTGCTAAGATATCCAGTTAGGTTAGGTGTATTCAGTGCATTTTCTTTTTTCTTTTTTTCCCCTCTCATTTGTTTTTGAGGCAGGGTCATACTATATAGTCCAGGCTGGCCTTGAACTCACAAAAATCTCCCTTCTTCAGCCTCCCAAGTGCTGGAATTACAGGCATGCACCATCATGCCTGGATATTTTCAACTTAAAATATTTTCATTTTACAGTGGTGGGTTTATTGGATATAACCCTATCCTAAGTCCAGGATCATCTGTACTTCTGGGGCTATCTCCCACACTTAGATGGATAAGAGTCAGCTGACAAATGCTGTGACTTCTAATTCGTGACGAAGGGGAAACAGACATTCTGGAAGACATACCAGTGGATTTTCTAGGGAGAATATGTACATATAAAAGTATTCACTGAAGTTCTTAGAATTATTTATAATTTCTGTTTAATGTCTGATAGCTCTTTATTTTGTAGCAGTTGCATGTGGTTGTCCTTTTTATTGCTGAGTTGGACAATAAATTTTTTTTTTGGTACCGGGGATCGGACTCGGGTCCTTGCGCTTGCGTAGCAGGCGGCGAAACCACTGAGCTAAATCCCTAGCCCCTGGACTATAAATATTTTGAAGCTAGAGATACTGTCTTCTGTTTTTTACCATACTTACCCCTTCATAGTATCTTGCATCATGTTCTAGCCAAAGGATTGCCAAACCAATTGCTTGTGGTCCAATTCCTGCTCCACCTTTTTCTGTAAATAAAGTTTCAGTAGAACATAGTCAATGCCCATTTGTTTATCAGTAGCTTGTTTCATACTATGGTGACAAAGGTGAGTGGCTGCAACAGATGCTATATGCCCCACAAAGCCTAAAACATTAATATGTGACCCTTTACAGAAGAAGTTGGGCAATCTCTATTCCAAACACAAGTGCTAATTAAAGTGCTTATAGACTAATCATTTTTACCAACAGGAAAATAAAGTTGCTGTGTTAAAAAGTGTTTTCATACATATTTTCACTTGGTTGTATTTGAATAATCAGTACTACAAAACATTTTAATTTCAAACAGTTGAAAATATAATACTTCAGGTTAAAACATAATACTCAATTCTTTTATCTTATTTTCACTCAGCAGCTGCTGCATACCTGTTTCAGAGACAGCTTTCACCAACTCCAGGCTACCCAAGTCAGTATCAGCTTTATGCGATGGAGAACACAAGACAAACAATCCTAAATGATTACATTACCTCACAACAGATGCAAGTGAACTTGCGCCCAGATGTAGCCAGAGGGCTTTCACCAAGGGAGCAGCCACTGGGTCTCCCATACCCAGCAACAAGAGGTGTGTATTTTGGTGTTTAGATTTTTTAGAATTTATTATGTTTACTCAGTAATTAATATATACTTGTTGAATAGATGATGGAAGGAAAGAAAAGAAGGCTGTATACTTCTTACCACAGACTGTAGCCCTTTGAAAGCAAACAAAATAGTGTATTGAGACAAGGTGTTTTGTGGACAATGAAATAACTAAATAAATCATTGTGCTATGTATTTGAAATCCATGTTTTAGAGTTTGCTCTCTTTAACCTATTATATCTTGAGGTTATTATACTTCATCTTAGCCAAAAGGCCAAGAAGCAGTTATCTTGAGGTTACTGATGTGAAGCACAATGTTTAGTTTCTTTCTCTAGATTCAAGAAGGTCTTAAAAAGTAATGATGACCTTAGATATTTTTATTTATGCCATATACAAATAATCATTGGGTTATATACAGATGGGCAAGACCTACAAGCCATGTATAATTCTCTGCCTTTAGAGTAAAACTTAACATAGAGTATATTTGTCTTTTGGATAGGAATCATTGACCTGACCAATATGCCTCCAGCAATTTTGGTGCCTCATCCAGGAGGAACAAGTACTCCTCCCATGGACAGAATCACTTATATTCCTGGTACACAGATTACTTTCCCTCCCAGGCCATACAACTCTGCTTCTATGTCTCCAGGTAAGATGCTGCAATCACACACTTTGCTAATAGGATCAACTTGCTTAGGTTTTTATAACATAGTCTTTTAAGGCGTTTTGGGCAGTTTGTCTCATTGGGTGTTCTGCTTTTCACTTAACATTTATCAGTAGTCCTATGTGCCAAATGTGACTAGATAACCCTAGGAATACCCTAAAAGATTATGTTGTATTCCAGTTGTTACCCAAAACTCTTAAACTTCTTCGTACATCCCAAATTTGGAGCTTTTTGGAAAACTCCAATATGAATTTTTAAATTGTGCCTGATAGGTTGACATTTTTGTCTTTAAGTTGCAGATTCATGTGTTTTACAGGACACTCAACACATCTTGCAGCAGCTGCAAGTGCAGAGAGGGAGAGAGAGCGTGAGAGGGAGCGTGAACGGGAGCGGGAGAAGGAGCGAGAGCGAGAGCGGATTGCTGTGGCTTCCTCTGACCTCTACTTGCGTCCAGGTCAGTGAGAGACTCTGCTCTTCTCTCCTAGAGACAGGTCTTGGTAATCTAGTGTGGTGGAGCATTGTGCTTAATGCTGTGGGATAAACAGGAATTCCAAGATGGCAAATCATTACAGGCCTCAAATAAAAGGCAGGTGAAAATGCTACAGAAGTTGGGATGAGAGAGATGAGTTTTAGAAAAAAGAGCTTTCAGTGATTAAGATATTATTTTGATTGTCCTAGGCAATTTTGATTATCCCTGAAGATCCTGGGCACAGAGCTGTCAAAGCTGAAAGAACTGCCTGAGCAAAGGCTTTAGCTAGGAAAGTATCAAGTACTGGCATTCTCTGACATTATCAGAAGTCTGTTTACACAATAGTGACAAGAGATGAATTAGAACCTAGAGGCGGGCATGGGCTGGTATCAGCAGGCCAGTGAGATTGTCAGTAGTTTATATGCATGCTAATGGCAGCTTTAAATATTCTGATAATGACCAGAAAGGAACTGCTGGGAAGAACATGAAGACATTTCACAACAGTTGGGTATAGGAAGTGAGGAAGAAACGATTGGTATGAAATTTAGAGCAGGAAAAATAAAAAGAGCACAATTAGTGAAAGCAAAGAGATAATGTTTTTATGTTGGATTTATTTAATTTGACATATTTGGGCCATCTGTTATTTGTGGCTCACCCCCCCCCCTTCAATTAAACCAAGACCATTTACTTTATTCATACTGTCAGATTCACTGATCTGGCACTCAGGAAAAAAGAGCGTGGAGATGCTGACTGATTCGAAAAAGTTGAAACTCTGGCTTGAGTGAGATTTCCAAGAGCATGAGTGTGAAAAGAGGAATAGGTTAGTCCCAGGAAGTAGGTGGAGACAAAAGGAAGTAGAGATGTGGTTGCAGCGTTAGGTACAGAATTGAAGGTAGTGGCAGGAGAGTGTCTCATTCATGTTTTTATGCAGGCACACCCTTTGAAATTAATCTGTATGGGGAAAATGTAAGGAGTCCAAAAGCTAGTCACATATTTGATCTATTCTTATTATTCTTGAGGAATTATCTTAAACACTTCAATGATTGCAATGGGTAAACACATTTAGGGATAATCTTTTATCTATAGAAAATAAAAATCACTAGGAATCTGACAGCAGGAAATACTTCAATTGTGAGTTAACACCATAACTGAGTCCATGTGTATCATATTAAAAAATGAAGATAATTTAATCAAAGAAAGCTGCATACAAATGACTCACAACTTTGGTAGATTTTTTAAAATGTTACCCCACTGGTGTATAAAATGTAGACTTAAGACAATATAATACCTTTTTTCTTCATCAGATATTTAAAAAGACTCATAAGTTTTTTGTTGTAGCTTCTGAATAAACATAGTCACATTAATAGTGGTGTTAATTGGTAAATATATTGGGCCCTTTTAGAGATTAAAATTTTTAAATGCTATTTGATTAGCATTTCTACTTCAAAGATTATATTCTACAAAAATACATAAACTGATGTAAGGGAGCAAAAGAAAGAAAATTGTTGGCTAAAATGATATTTTGTTTTTGTTTTTTTGGTACTGGGGATCAAACTAGGGACTGAGCTAAATCCCCAGCTAAAATGATACTTTGAGAATAAGAGTGGGTGCTAAAATTGTTAGTTCTTATGAGGGCACAGAACAAGAGGAGGTAGAAAAGAAAGTGAGGAAAGAATATGAAAGTTCAAGACCTTTGACTGAAGGACTTGTGATCAAGTTCAAGCTCTCTCCTTTTGTTTTTGTTTTGTTTTTTTTGGTACTGGGGATCAAACTTGGGACCTGGCACTTGCGAGGCAGGTGGCAGAACCACTGAGCTAAATCCCCAGCAAACTCTCACTCTCTTATGGGAGAGCTAAAGTTAAGTGAACAAAAACGTATCAAACCCTGAAACATGGTTCCTAGAATTGCCAAACTTTTGCAAAGGGTAGTGCAAATTTCCTCTCACAAAAGAAAGTGTGCTGAGAGAAAGTTACTTGTGAAGGGCAGTAAAAAAGTAAAGCCAAAAGATCTATGACCAATGAAACAACCCCAATCCCTAGTGTAGCAGTAGTGTATTATTTTCATTATAATGTTTAGGAGTTTGTACCCCAAATGATGTTGTATATCATAAAAATACCCAAATTTGAGGAAATATTTGAGAAATGAACATACCTGATTTGTATTAGAACTTCATTGTCGTTGCTTGTTTTTTTCTCTCTGTAATCAAGATTGGGACTAGACACAAAAAATGGAAGAGACAGTAAATAATTGAAATTTCAAGTTACTAGTAGGTTTTATTGAAATCCCCTCCAATCAGGGATCAGACTCAGGACCTTGAACTTGTGAGGCAGGTGAGGCACCACTGACCTAAATCCCTGGCCCTTTTATTGCATATTTATTGAGGAGCTTAGAAAATATGTTTCTAGGGATGGGGATTTAGCTCAGTGGTTCCACCGCCTGCCTCGCAAGCGCAAGGTCCCAAGTTCCATCCCCAGTACCAAAAAGAAAGAAAGAAAATATGTTTCTACAAAGGCCAGAAAGAATGGTAAGTTTCTTGTTTTATTTATTTTTTTCTTTCCTATTTAGGAATATTAGGAAATAACCAGCCCATAAATGTTGGTGTCTTTTATCTCTGGCCACTTCTTTATGTCTTATCTTTCTCCCTTAAAATTTTTTTTTTTTTTTGGTTCCTTTAGGCACAGAACAGCCTGGCCGACCTGGCAGCCATGGATATGCTCGCTCCCCTTCCCCTTCAGTAAGAACTCAGGAGACTATATTGCAACAAAGACCCAGTGTTTTCCAGGGAACCAATGGAACCAGTGTAATCACACCTTTGGATCCAACGGCTCAGCTACGAATCATGTCAGTCCCTTGTATACTTTGTTTTTGTTTTTTGCTGTTTTTCTTTGTAGATCAGGCTGGACTTGAACTCACTATGTAGTTCAGGCTGGTCTCAAACTCATGGCAATCCTCTTGTCTCAGCCTCATGAGTGCAGGGATTACAGTTATGTACCACCACACCTGGTTCTTATGTATGTTTTGACCCAAAAATATACCAGTTTCTTGCATATACTATATATTGTTTTTAAATTTGTGACTGCAATAGTTTAACACAGTCAAGATTTTCCATCCACTATTCTTTTTTGTTCTTCAATTTGTCCTTTTATCTCTCCAACCCAACCTTAGTAAATGATCTTCCCTTCACAAGAGCTGTAATTTGGTTTTATTTACAGGCCACTGCCTGCTGGGGGCCCTTCAATAAGCCAAGGCCTGCCGGCTTCCCGTTACAACACTGCTGCGGATGCCCTCGCTGCTCTTGTGGATGCTGCAGCTTCTGCACCCCAGATGGATGTTTCCAAAACAAAAGAGAGTAAGCATGAAGCTGCCAGGTTAGAAGAAAATTTGAGAAGCAGGTCAGCAGCAGTTAGTGAACAACAGCAGCTAGAGCAGAAAAGCCTGGAGGTGGAGAAGAGATCTGTTCAGTGTCTGTACACTTCTTCAGCCTTTCCAAGTGGCAAGCCCCAGCCTCATGCTCCAGTAGTGTATTCTGAGGCTGGGAAAGATAAAGGGCCTCCTCCAAAATCCAGATATGAGGAAGAGCTAAGAACCCGAGGGAAGACTACCATTACTGCAGCTAACTTCATAGACGTGATCATCACCCGGCAAATTGCCTCGGACAAGGATGCAAGGGAACGTGGCTCTCAAAGTTCAGACTCTTCTAGTAGCTGTATGTATCTCAATCTGAGTTTCACAATGTGATATCTGAGTAAAGAATTACTTTATTCTTTAGGTAAAGCACTATTCTATGGTATAAAGCAATCCTAATGCTTGACATTAAATGTCAGAGGAAGTTTTTTTGTTTATTAGTGCAAAAATATATTTTCTACAAGGTGATTTAAATATCTTGTTTCCTAAGTATAAGCTTATTGATGTATTTTCCACAAGAAAGCTACATCTTTTATAGAACCAAAGTTGTAAAGTGTTTAGATACAGTGTAGAGCTTTTTAACATATTTAGGCTTTTGAAGGAAGAGGGATGTACCATTGAGCTCAGTGCTACTGAGGTATAATTTCTCAGGAAACATTTGCTAGGAGATGGTTCACTGTTTAGGGTGATCCCTCAAAGCCTCTTGTATCCTTTTTCTAAATTTCCAAAATTTCTAGATTATTAAAAGGAAGGCTACCTTATTATTGGTAATTGGTATTTACTTTGCACCTTTCTTGGATTTTGACCCAGTCTGGTTAGTCATGGTGATATGTACTCTACAAGTAAAAATTCCTAAATTTCCCACTAAAATGTTGAAAAGTTTCTTTTTTAAAATGTCTTCTTTAGCCAGGTATGGTGCTGCACTCCTGTAATCCCAGCACTTGGGAGGCTGAGGTAGGAGGATTGCCATGAATTTGAGCCAGCCTAGGCTACATAGCAAGACTCTGTCTCCGAAATACATGCATACATACATACATAAATAAATAAATAAAATGTCTTTTTTACCATTTCCTAAATTCTGTATGGAATTCCAGAAAAACAATTAGGTATTTGAGCAAGCAGCTAATTAGTACTTGAAGTAATATTAATTATGTAGTCCTCTCTGTTATCTCCATACAGAAACTGAGTAATGAAAAGAATGATTTTTTTCTTTTTTGATACCAGGGATCAAACTCAGGATCTTGCGCTTGCAAGGCAGACATGGTGCACTAAGCTAAATCCCTGGCCCTGAAAAGAATGATTTCTTGTGCAACAGTATGCAATTTGTAGTTCTTATCTTCCAATATCTACTTGTCTAATTGTAACTCGTTTGGTCCATATCTACCCCAGTGCTGAGAGTTAAAAGGGAGCAGTTTAGCGTAGTGTTTAGTGTAGAAGAGATTTCCTTTTAACTTGGGATTTGGAAAATCTACACTAAAACATAGGTTTTCAACATGCAGAAAATTGCTACCTGAGGAAGACGTTAGTTGTATGATCAGGTATTTTGTAGGGGAGATATTAGCACACGTGGTGACCTCACCTAGGCTTATAGTTTGCATGATAAACCAAACCTTGCTGTAGGAATCTGATTTTTCAGCAGGTCTGAAAATATAAATTACTGATTCATTTCTGAGTGTTCATGGTTTTGTACACAATTGCCATTTTTATTACTGGACAGTGAGTTATATCAAGTCCAAAGGCTATCAGCAGTTATGCAGGTGGTTTACAGTTTGACTCTTGAGAGCCTTCCTCACCATGGGAGAAGTGCACTGCTTCACTTTGTGTCTTCAAGAGTAATGTGTACACAGTCCAGTATCAGACTTTCTATTGACAGAATATTATTGTCAGCAGATTTAGGATGTTTATAAGCAGTATTAACAGTGGATACAAAAGTTGCAAATTAGTATAAATTGCTAAATTATAGTCTTATTCTAGTTCCTCAGTGATTATTTCCATCCTATTTATCAGATTTCTCTTCTCCTGAACCCAGATAATTGCAGTGTCCATGACCTGTTTGGGGGCAAAAGAGTTGGGCAATAGAGGAGCAGGTGGTAGCAGAGTAGGAGAGTCTGTCCTAAGGTTTTTTATGTTTCCAGCCAGGTCATATACCCTTTCCTCTGACTCTTTGGTGTACTTGTAGATGCAAAGAGCTCTCTCTGAAGGTTCCTAAGTGGGTTAGACCTATCCCTAGTTCTCAGCTCTGAGCCTAGGGCAGGACTGTGAAAAGCTGCCTGTGCTCCCTCTGCATAGCCCCCCCTCAATTTTCTTGGGAACTGCATCTTAAAGAGGCTCTTCTCTCATGTGAGTAATGTCCAGAGTTGGTTGATATCCTCCCTTTCTGTGAATTCACTTCCATTCCCTTTCATTTCTGTTTATTTTCACAATGTAATACAGCGCAGAAAAATTATTTGGGGTAATTTTTTTGTCAGCAATATTCCAAATGAGAAAATCAGTGTACAATGTTACATAATCTATAGCTTTAAAATCATTATAATGAAGCAGCTTTATAGCCTCAAACTTTTTGTACAGACTGTTCCTGTGAATTGGAATTATTGGAATCAATCAGCTATTGAGATCTTTCTCATTTGTTTATCTTCTCTGATGAGTGCTTTCCTAGTGATTTCAAGAGAATATCACAAATTTGTTCTCTATTTTGCCTCATCTCACTGCTTATTATGGGCTTTAAAAAAGATCTTGGGGCCAGGGATTTAGCTCAGTGGTTCTGGTGCCTGCCTGGCAAGCGCAAGGTCCTGAGTTCGATCCCTGGTACCAAAAAAAAAGATGTCAGGGGTCTACAGAATTTTAGAAAACTGTGTACCTACTGAGATAAGGGACGTGGAGGTACCTCTGAAACATTTCAGTGGGTTCAATAAGTTTTATCATTAACCTAGATGCCATTGAATATTTCTGAAAATTCAAAAACTAAAATATGAAAATAGATTTGAAAAAGTTGTTCTTTTGAAACTTTCCATGGATTCATTTTAAAATAAGACTTCTTTTCTTGAAGTATCTTCTCATAGGTATGAAACACCTAGTGATGCTATTGAGGTGATAAGTCCTGCCAGCTCACCTGCACCGTCCCAGGAAAAACTGCAGGTCTATCAGTCGGAGATTAAGGCAAATCAAACAGAAAGTATGTCTGTTTTAGCCATCATTTACATATTTTCACTTATCTTTTGCTTATTATTTGTCTAAGTCATGTTAAGAAGTTGTTTTTTTTTTTTAAGGTAACCCTGTGTGTCTCGTTAACAAAAAAATACAATTTAAAATTTCAGTAATAAAAGCAACTTTTTGGGGGGTGGCTCTGGGAATTGAACCCATGCCCTCACAAGTTAGGCAAGCATTCTTCCAATGAGCTATATCCCCTGCAACCCCCAAAAAGCAGTTTTCTCTTACAGTATTGGGGATTAAATCCAGGGCCTTTGCACTAAACTGCATCTCCCAGCCCTTCCTAAGTTTCTAAGTTGCACAGGATGAGTTCTAATTTGCAGTCCTCCTGCCTCAGACTCCTAGAGTGCTGGGATTACAGGCATGAACCATCATGCCCAGATGAAAAAACAGCTTTTAATCTTAGTATTATTCTTTTATTTATAGTTGAATGATACAGAAAATTGATATTTTCTTTGCTTACTTCTACATTCATTTTATTCATTAATCCTCAGACTTCCATTGGTGAATATTTTTTGCTTCAAAACTAAGATACCTACGTTCTGTATTTAGATTCATGCAACATTGTTTTCACATGTTCTTCTGAATTATGTGTAATCTTTGATGAGTGAGATGGGGCATCTCAGGAGTACGACAGCTATCTGTTCTCTCTTAGATGATCCCACCATACAGTATGAAGGACCACTGCATCACTATCGACCACAGCAGGAATCGCCATCTCCACAACAGCAGCTGCCCCCTTCTTCACAGGCAGATGGGATGGGGCAGGTGCCCAGGACCCATCGGTTGATCACACTTGCTGATCACATCTGTGTAAGTGTTTTATTATTATTTTGATTATGCAAAAAGCAGATTTCATATAGAAAGTGAAAACCATGGGGATACATACTGAATTTAATGACTTCCTTTTCTCATTCACAGCAAATTATCACACAAGATTTTGCTAGAAATCAAGTTTCATCGCAGCCTCCACAGCAGCCTCCTACTTCTGCATTCCAAAATTCACCATCATCTTTGATGTCTACACCTATCAGGGCTAAAACATCAAGTCACTATAGTCCAGAATCCCAATCTCAGTCTGTCCTCCATCAAAGACCAGGTTCCAGAGTCTCGCCAGAAAATCTTGTGGACAAATCCCGGGGAAGGTATGGTCTTTACTGTGAATTGTATGTAAAATACCAAGCGTTAAAACAGTTGGAAAATATCTGCAAGATAGGGGATTAATTTCATACACAAGTTCATTTATGCCTTTGTTCCCTAGAAAGTGTGAATTGGGATTTTTCCTCTGCATATTGTTAAAATGTCCACTGTCTGGGCATTTGGTATTATGTTGTTTTGTTGTTTTTTGTTTTTTGGGTACTGGGGATTGAACTTGGGATCTTGCACTTGCGAGGCCGGCAGCGGAATGGTACTGTGTTTTTAGTGCATATTCAAAAGTTGGCTGTACTATTATGAGTAATGAAGTAGTTTGGTTGTAATTTAGGGACGATTGAGTGCTCCTTCAGATTCATCTCTCAAGTTGGGTGTGATGGTACATGATGTCTGGGTTCATGAGACTAAGGTAGAAGGATCATGAGTCTGAGGCAACATAGTAAGATCTTGTCTCAAAAACAAAAAATAATCACCTGTAAATGTTCATCTTTCAGTGGTTTCTGTTGGGCCAGCAGTACTAAACCTTTAGGAAGGTGACATTAAATAAGGGAAAGTGACGCCACCAGAGGCATCATGAGAAGAAGCATTTTATATGGGAGAAGTATCTGATAAAGAATATTTTCTTACCTGATATTCTGTGCTTGGACTGAAAACAAAAGGAGGCGAGGATTTTATTTGAAAATGGTAGATTAAATATCAGCAAATGTTAAATTACAGTTAAATAGCACAAAGAGAATTAATTCATAAGAAAGCTAAGAATGAACATGAAATAAAAGAGCAAAGATTTGGCAAGTACCTGGATAACACAGAGGACAGATGAACAAGAGGAGTAGAAGTCATAGCTCAGAGCATGAAAAGGAAAAATCTACAGTAGAAATGATTATCCAAACTGCACACAAACTCCTCAAAGTTAGCAAAGAACAGAAATAATAATATATTTTAAGAATCTTTTAAAAAAACACTTTATTGCAGAACATTTCAAACATACACACAAGTAGAACAGTACAGTACCCCATACAGGAGTATTCTGAAGCAAAACTGGATGCTATTAAGGATAGGATGGAAATCTGTTTATTCTCTTTAACCAAAAAAGTATATAGTTATTAAAGAAATCTGCAGTCACTGTTGATTTCATGTAAGATTTTGAGCAGTTGATGGCATTTATGAAAAAGAGAATCTATTTGCTTTTTCACTTGTAATTTTATTACCACTACACTTGTGCATCGGAATGAAGAATGTTACATTTCTTCCATTGTTTTAGTAAAATTACCTAGATTTATAGTTTAAATTGTTCACATAATCTATAAGCAAAACAGAGGAGTTTTTCTGTAGTTCTAGAACAGGATGTAAATGCTATAAATCACATATAAATGGCTGAAAGATGCTGGGACATGGAGGGTAGACAGAGAAAAGAAGTAGAATGCCATGAGTGCCAATTCACTTTTCAAAAAAAGATAGTTGAAGTATGCTGTGTATTACTCTTTTTTTTTTTGGTACTGAGGATCAAATGCAGGATCTTGCGCTTGTGAGGCAGGCGCAACACCACTGAGCTAAATCCCTGGCCCGTATTACTCTTGAAATTAAGTCCTTCTAGGGCCGGGGATTTAGCTCAGTGGTTTCACCACCTGCTGCACAAGCGCAAGGACCTGAGTTCGATCCCCAGTACCAAAAAGAAAAAAAAAATAGAGACCTGGTGAAATTAAGTCCTTCTAGATCTTTTTCAAAACCTGTTTGGGGGGGGCTGCAGGGTCACCCCTGATTGACCCAACACAAGTACTGGCTAATTAACAACAGATAAACTAAAGGTTAAAATGGGCAAAATGTGGTGAAGTTAAATCAATGTTTGTATCTTTAATGGAAGAGAGTTGATACTGTATCAAGTTTAATAAATCAAAAAGTAAAAATGTAATATTAGAGTTTCAGAGGTAAATACCAAAGGAACTAAAAACAGTTGCCAAAAATTAAGACTTGGTGCTGATTTGGAAAGGAAATAATCGAATAATATTTTATATATATGCTTAACTATAGTAGTAATTAATGCAGATGTTAAAAGTCACAGGTGGTGCTTGGTGTGTGCAATCTGTAAGTCAAACTTTTTTGGGGGGAGGGGTGCTAAACTGTATTTATCTCACATTATCCTTACCAATATGGTATACAGAGGAAAAACATGAAATTGCAGAGAACCTCAGTGCTAAAATGGTTTAACTAGAGCCTGTTGTTGGCTCACTGGACAAAACTCCTTATGGATCAGTTTAATACTTAAGTCCTTAATAGAGAAATTACTTATTGAGGAAAGACCTGGTAGGTTATGAGTTAAAATAAGCAGTGAAACCCTTGAGGGTTCACCCGGACAACTGGCCAAAGGGTAGGATGGAGCCTGATATTGAAGTATTCTACATGCAAAGCTTTAGAATGGGGAGATTCTGCTGTTGTGTCCTTCTTGTACACTCTTGTGATGTGCCTCTCCATCCATGGAGAGAGCAGCAGAAACCATTTTTGATAACTAGGTATACAGCAAGTACCTAAGTCAGGTTTTTTTTTGGTCAGAGAAATCGGCAGCCTTTGCTCCTCCTGAATGAAGTCATGAGTTAACAGTTTCTGTTTAGGGTGAGCTCTTGTGGAACATAATCTAATTTACATGTTACAACAGCAGGCCTGGAAAATCTCCAGAGAGGAGTCATATCTCTTCAGAGACCTACGAGCCCATCTCCCCACCCCAGGTTCCAGTTGTGCATGAGAAACAGGACAGCATGTTGCTCTTGTCACAGAGGGGCATGGAGCCTGCAGAGCAAAGGTAAGGAGAGCCACTTCTAGCCATAGCTCTTGCTTTGGGAGCAGGCTTAGTGCCTTGAAACTTTATTTTAGTCACTATCTTTTTTTCTTTTGTGTAAGGATGGGACTCTCAGAGGACCATTTAGTCTTTGTTTTCACAGTGAGCTAATGCTAGTGGATTTTAGCAAAACTATATTTAAATAAAGAAAATTTGTTCATTATTCTTGAAATTAAGTCCTTCTGTATCTTTTTCAAAACCTATTTTGGAGGGGCCTACAGGGTTACCCCTTGATTGAGCCAACACTAGTACTGGCTCATTAAACAGATCTGCTTTATATATTTTTATCTATCTCTATCTAATGTTCATTTGTCCCCTTCTGTCTGTTCACTCTCAATACTTCCCCAGAGTGGTTTGTCTAAAACTCACTTCAAGTCAACCTCTAAGTGACTAGTATGGCATTTGAGTTCCCTCAGGATCAGGTTTACGCAGTTTTATTTCCTACTACTTAACCCTTATGCTGTATTCTGTGTTCTCTGAATTTCTTTCCATTCGGTTTCTTGGTGTATAACAATCATCCCCAATGCTGGGAGGTGAATGTGATTTGCCTGTGGTCAGACTGATAAGACAAGAACAGTCTGGTTTTAAAGCAAAGTCTAACTGTACACTGTTGCTGGATTTCTTAGAATGTATAATTTGTTGTTGTTGTTGTTGTTGCTGGGGATCAAACTTAAGACATTGTGCTTGCCAGGCAGGCATGGCACCACTGAGCTACATCCTGGCCCATAATTATTTTATTGTGTATATTCTTAAACAACCAAATATATATTGCTATCCTCAATGAAATGAAGAAGAAATTTACTTTTGGAGAGGGAATGATGTTAAATATAATTATTTACATGATTTCCCTTGAGTACATGAATTTTTTGAGACCAGGGACCATGTCTTAACTCATTTTTCTATCACCTTAATTCTCTTTCTTAGATAATATTTTTTGTTTGTGAATCCACGTGACCAGATTAGGTCATCAACTGCTTTCCTTCCATACATTCTCTATTACTAGCTCTAGTTCTAGCTAGATCTTTGGTTGCTTTGAACTGTAGGGGAAACTTGTTTTTAAAAATGCATTAATATTGGAAGCTGCCAATGAAATATAAAGTCTGTGCATTAAACTCAGCTCACCTGATAACTGGCTTGAAATGACTGTAACAAACTAATTGCTTAGGTAGGAACTCTTACCATTTTATAGGCAAGTATGCTACTAGTTGTAACTTTGGTGTAAGGAAATAATTTTTAAATTCTGCTGGAATGGTAATCATAAATAGTTCATGTTGCCAGGCATGATGGCACACATCTACAATCCCAGCATTCAGGAGGCTGAGGCAGGAGGATTGCCATTGAGTTCAAGGCTAGTCTGAACCTACATAGCAAGTAGTTCTCAAAAGAAAAAACAATAATGTTGTTAAGTAGAAAGCATCATGATAAGCTGTTCGAGTTTTCTTATCGTATTCATTTGTTGCTTGTTCATTCCTTAATCTCTATTCTCAATTTTTGCCATTTTAATCTTAACTTTATAATATCATCTTTGAGGGCTACAGTTATTTGATTATGACCTTAAATGATATACTGACTGGATTATGGTAACATGGTCTTTCTAAAAGTTGTAACCACAAACACAAGATTGGGAGGCAGTAGTTTTCCAAGTAGTCTATAACTATCATCATCCACTGGAATGTTTCCAGTAAGTACATGATTATAATAGACTGAACTGTGTTCCTAACAGGAATGATTCTCGCTCACCAGGGAGTATAAGCTATTTGCCTTCATTCTTCACCAAGCTTGAAAACACATCACCCATGGTTAAATCAAAGAAGCAGGAGATTTTTCGTAAGTTGAACTCCTCTGGTGGAGGTGACTCTGATATGGGTAAGTGGGATTTCTTTCATGAACCCCAAATGGAACATGAATTAATACTGCCAGTCTTGCCTCTCCTGTAATCCTTGAGTGTGAAGACTCCCATAATGCATTTATCCAATACATGTGACCTAAAGTTCCTTCCCAGATGTCTGCCAGTTCACAAAGAATAGTCCTATTTGTGAGCAGAAACTTGCTCCTCTTTGAAGCTGTCCATTTTCCTTGGGAACTAATGTTAGGATACTTTTTTGTTATGTAGGGCTGGCTGGATTAACTCTGTAGTTTTTTGTTTGTTTTTGAACCCATTAGTATTAGTCTTATCTATTTGAATGCCCTCCACATGACATTTCACACATTTTTTTTTTTTTGGTACCGGGAATCAAACTCTGATCCTTCCGCATTTGAAGCAGGTGGCAGAACCACTGAGCTAAATCCCCAGCCCGACATTTTGCACATTTGAAGGCATGTTTCACGAGTCATCTTCTTTCTGTAAATATCCCATTTTGTCAGTGGTTCCTTATATCCTGGTTCTAAGTACCCCTGATAAGTCAACTGCTCTCCACCAAGTAATACAAAAAATAGTGTGATAAGGTACCCTGAGATTATATTAGCTTTTTTGTTGCCAACCTAAACACTTAAGTTATAGTACACTTGTTATAAATATAGATGTCAAGGTCTCCTGGTGGGCTGCTCTTAATTTATACCTCGCCTCTGCTCTGCTTTTGCAAATACTAGTCCCAAGGACAGGGCAAGACAACATGTACTTATTCCATTCCAACTACTTTTTCTGCCAGGGTCTGTCTAGATCAGTTTAGTTGTTCAGCGTTCACCTACAACACAGATAATTAGCATCAATAATAATAGTAGTGAAAGGTTAACTGGCATTTACTGTGCTAGACACCATTCTAAATATATACATAGGTACATTCATTTAACCTCACAACAACCCTACATGCTACATTTAATTATCTCCATTTTGTAGATGAGAAAACTGAGACTCAGAGAGGTTTAATAACTGGCACGGGTTACATAACTAGTAATGGGGCTGTGGTTCAAACCCAGGCATTCCAATTCCAGAGTCTATGCTTCCCAGTGATGTACTAAGTGCCTTCTAACAATTCTGTACTCACAGCATCCTCAGCCAGATTATTGGTAAATACCCAGCAGAGCTCCATGGCAGAACCTTTCCTTTGGACTAATGTGCACATGTTTCTCAGAACTCTCCTGTACTATTAACTCAACATGGTCACTTGTATGATCCCCCAGTCCAGTTGTGACAATCTAGATCTACCTCTATCTACTCTTTCTTTTTCTTCCTTTTTTCTTTTCTTTCTCTCCCTCTCTCCCTTTTTCTCTCTTTCTCTTTTTTCCGATGTGTCATCTACTAGTCTTCTGATCCTGTCAAAAGAAAGAAATGCCAGGTGGATGTGTATTTGGGTTTCTGCCACTTTGATTAATGTTGAACATCAAAGAGAAAAAAGGATGAGCTCCGTATCACTTGTGAACTTATTTAGCTCTTAACTACATTTGACTTTTTAAGTGACAGCAAATCATCTCAAAGAGAAGTGCTAACAGATGATCTCAAAAGATAAATATTTTAGAGTATCAGAATTGCTTTCAGGCCTACAGATGTACTTAAGAAAATACTATCATAGGGCCGGGGATTTAGCTCAGTGGTTCTGCCACCTGCCTTGAAAGCACAAGGTCCCAAGTTTGATCCCCAGTATGAAAAAAAACACAAACAAAAAACAAATAACTAAGAAAATACCATTATAGAGTTTGTCTCCAGTCTTCCAACAGTTTCATGTATTATTTACAGCTCCTCAAACGTCACCAATAAGAATACAGTGCCTTCATTTTCAGATTCTCTCACAACTCAAAGATGAATCTGTCAAAGCATGGAGATGTATAGATTTAAAGCAGTTGTCAAGAACTGTTTGAGCTTGGTGTGGTCTATGCTCATCCTCTTAGTTTTTGTCTCGCCCTTCTACTGGGAAGGAAGTCAATCCCTGGTGGGAGGTGCCATATGCAGGCTGAAGAAGCCTACTTACAATGATTCTCTTACCTAGTGTTTTGTGTTGTTCTTCACAGCAGGTCTCAGTGACTACTTAGTAGTCACTGAGTTGACTGAGGGATGGTCTCTGCTCTCCAAATGTACAATGAAAAACTACTGTAAGGGGAGATGAAGTATAATTACAACTAACACAACTGCTTTAGAATCTATAGTTTTTTTGTAATAACCCCACTTAAGAAATGGGAAGTTTGTATTAAAGAACTAGTGAGCTTCTGGGACCCGAAAGCACCATTTGGTCCCCACTGGGCAACTGAACTAAGAGATCAAGGCCATCAGCAACTAAGATAGTTTTGCTTCAAAGAATTGTGTCTCAATTCAGTTAATGAGTTTATTCTTTTTAAACCGTGCTACATTAAAACTATTTGATCTCTTTGCAGCTTCTAACAAGTGAATCATTTTTCTGTTTCAGAAATGCACTACTTTTTTTTAGATACTGCATTCTCCTGTTGTTTCGTTTTGTTTTGTTTCTCTCTACCTCTTCGGCCATTTCTTCAGTCTTAGAAGCTTGGTCTTGCTCTGCCAAGCCCTTGTTGTTTCCAGGGCTCTCTGCCCTTTCTCTTCTGAGTCATTTCAACCACATGGGAGTCTTAAACTGTCACTTTCATTTACTTTTGGGTTTTTTTTTGGTACCGGGGATTGAACTCCGGTCCTTGCACTTGCAAGGCAGAGGGGCGGAACCACTGAGCTAAATCCCTGGCGAACTGTCACTTTTATGCTAAAAACTCTGAAGTTTCTGTCTGGGTTCTAGCTTTTCCTACTAAGTTGTGCTTCGTATGTACCGTTGCAGATCTTGTTTCTTCTTGAACAGCTTACTGGCTGCTTAAATGTCTGAAGCTGAATCTACATGACAGCTCCCCACACTGAAAGTTCTTGCTTCCTCCCTTCCTGTTACCTTTTACACCACCCATCACTTTTTTGGCTTCCTCTGTCAAATCTGCCTTCTAAAGAGCTCTTAGAATCTACCTTTCATTCTCCATTCTGAGTAATACCACATTCTTTTTTTTTTTTTTTTCAGCTGTATTAGTATTTTAACTATAATTTTTTTAAAAATTTACATTAAATGCACATTTTATAAAATGACCACTTATAAGAGTCTATAAAAACATTTGGTATTTCTGATACTTCATTAGCTTTAACTTTATTCCCTTCCCAAACAAAAAATTAAAGAGGATGGCAAGCTATTTACAAAATGACATTTAATTGTGTTGTGATCAGGCTGACATTCTAAACTTCTTCAGTGCAGCAGCTTTCTTGTCTATCCTAGCATAACACTTCTCCACTGCCTTTTCAGTGCCTTCATGAATACCACATTCTGACTTAAACTAGGGGTCCTCAAACTTTAATACACACCAGTATCACTTGAGTACTTATTAAATATATGAATTACAGTACTCTAGGAATATAGAAATTCTGCATTTTTACCAAATTACCCAGGTGATTATGGTTTGTATGGGTTCAGAAAATGTTAAATGTTGATACATTCTGAGTAAATATGTATTATCATTGGTTGAACTGTATGAAATTATCTACATCTGACCATTTTTAATTAAAAAAATTAATTTTAAGCCAGGTGTGGTGGTGCCACACCTGTAATCCCAGCACTTTGGGATGCTAAGCCAGGAGGATCTCAAATTCAAGCCCAGCCTAGAAAACTGAGCAATTCATCAAGAAGATCTGTCTTAACTAAAAAATATTTTTTATAAAGGGCTGAGGATGTAGCTCAGTGGAAAGGTCCTGGGTCTAATCCCCAGTATTGTTTTTTAAAAGTAATTTAAGATTTAACCTATAATAGCTCAATGAGTATTTGTCAAATAAACAAATGAGTTCTATTCCACAAACTCTGATAACTATAAGGCTAACGCATCGGGTCCTTGGCTTGCGAGGCAGGCGGCAGAACCACTGAGCTAAATCCTTGGCCCGAGGTTGAGTTCATTCACTGTGTTATCTGGCCCATAAGTAACTGTCACCCAGAATAATTGTTTTATATATAGTTCTTTCTGGAGATTGTTTTCCTCTTCCTCTTGTCAGTTTCAAATCTACCTGATAACAAAAAGCTTCTAGACACACTTGCTCTTGCATCTTCACAGGTGGCTGTCATCCCTAGGCTAAGAGTCAATCCTTCTGCAATCTTACCTCATCCATAGGTTGCCATTGGTTTAGGCACTCACTTATTTCCTGTGTTCTTTTTTTCCATTTAAAATTTTAAGCAACAAGTTGGAAGCCATAGAAACACCATTTATGTCCCCAAATTCCTTCCCCACCTGGCACAAAATGCTTTGTAAGTAGTTACCAGGTCACCTGCTGTTTTCATTCAAACTGCAAAATGCAAATTACAAGTTTCACAGTTAGCAGGACTAAAAGAATCAAGAGGCAGCACCTTTTATCTTATCCAGGGAATATCCTGAGAATGTAAGAATAATTTCCAATTAGCCATAGTAAGGAAATAGCCCTTTTCATACTGAACACTAACATGGGTTTCCTCTGGCTCTAATCTCATTCTGCTTAAATCCCACTGGTATTTTTAGGAGTCAAGTTAGAGGCTGAAGTTTCTTTTTTACTAGAAAGCCAAGATTCCTCTTCTGAGAATGATTTTTTTCCTGTTTGTTATTTTCTCCAGTAGTGCAAGGTCTCTTTCCCTTTTGTGAGTTTATATTACTTGTTTTGTGTTCTCTGCTGCACCTAATTTTTTGTTTCCCAATTTCCTTTTTAAAAGAAAGGTGGTTTCATTTTATCTCTACATAACAGATGTAAAATAAAGGTTGAGATCATGGAAAATATAAAGGTTAATTTTACTGTAGTAATTTCTTTTTGAGACTTTATCAACATATATGATTATCTCAGTTAACTGAAATGTATGTTTAAATATAGCAGCTGCTCAGCCAGGAACTGAGATCTTCAATCTGCCAGCAGTTACTACATCAGGTAAGATTCAAAATATGTTATTTACTAGTATGAATAGTCAATTCAAGAAGTAAAGACTGATTACATATGAGGGGACTGTTCTAGTATGTAAAAGTGAATAATTTAGTCAGGGAAGAGTCAATGGCACAAAAGGGAATTGAGATTCAATAAACACTTAAGATAAATGAAAAAAGAAAATCAAAACTGTTAAAGAACAGTGCAGACACTATGGAACTGAAGAAAGCAGTAAATTAAGTAACTAACAGAAGTATGGGTGACTGATTCCTAGGAGAGGCAGATTTCCTTGTGTTACCTGTGGATGGAGAATGCCTCTGTGTTGGCCCTCATTGGTGTTCTAGGCAACCTGATTCAGTGGGCTGAAGGGTGTATGCAGTCTGCTGTTCATTTCCCTGTATCCTGATGTGCCTCTCGGAAACAAGCAGAAATGTACTCTTCCAGGCGCAGTTAGCTCTAGAAGCCATTCTTTTGCTGATCCTGCCAGTAATCTCGGCCTAGAAGACATTATCAGGAAGGCTCTCATGGGAAGCTTTGATGACAAAGTCGAGGATCATGGAGTTGTCATATCTCAGTCTGTGGGAGTAGTACCTGGTAGTGCCAGCACCTCACTTATGACCAGCAGTGAGGCACGGAGGGATGAAGGGGACCCGTCACCTCACTCAGGTAAAGTTTTCATTTTAGTGTTCTGCTGCTGCCTTTCCTGATGAAAAGCCAATTGGCAAGTTCTGATGCATCACTGAGAGATTCCATTTGTCTTCATGGGTTCAGAGACATCTCTAGGTTTTAGTTCCTTTAAATTTAAAAAATTTTTTTGACTTATCCAGACCTTATAACAAATAAGGATTTTTTACCCTGAATGTCACCCTCCTGGTATCAGATTTTATTTTTGTTTGTATCTAGTTTACTCATGTATTGATACAAGTATAATTTCATTTTGTTTTTTAATAAAAGTGACTTAGGATTGTAATACAAAATGATAGGCTTAGTATAATTTTAACCCATAAAGGAAAGAAACCACCACACCCAGTCCATGTGATCACATCACCCAGAAAGCTAGCGTTACCTTGGGATAAAGCAAGATTCCAGACAGGTCTCTGTGTAGACACAGATAAAAAGATATTGGAGTCTGACAATTTTAACTTCCTGTTAAAACCATACAATGTTTATATATGATCTTTTTCTTAATCTTTTGATAACTACTATCTTTTTTTAACTAAATTACCTGAAGGTCAGTAATGTTTCAATTTTGTTTAAGGGTTATTTTCCTTTGGTGTCATTGGAAGATCTCACTAGGTTATGTAAAATAATGAGATTAGAAGTTGCTTTTTAAAAAAATCTACATGTGGGCCGGGGATTTAGCTCAGTGGTTCCAGTGCCTGCCTCGCAAGTGCAAGGTCCCGAGTTCGATCCCCAATACCCCCCCCCCAATCTACATGTAATTTGAAAACTATCAATTTACTGGCTATCCTAAAAAAAACCAAGCATTTTCCCCTTCTTGCTCTTAGTTTCTAATTTTTACGGATTTTCAGTGTGTGTTCAGGCCATAATACTGGTGACTGTCATGGAATTACAATATTGGTTGTATAGGATGTGGGATATGCTGATCCTGTTCTCCTGGGGCTGAGGAGAAATTGTGCTGCTGACCTAGGCTCTAATCTCATCTGAGATCTTTAATGTTTTGTCTTAGAACCCAGCCAAGGGTATCTCATGCCTGTGAGCTTTATAAATTAAACAGAACCTGAGAAAATACAAAGGGCTACCAAAACTCTGCTAACCTCTTGCTGCTAAAACAGTGTATTAATTCCTCTGCTTACTTACCTTGGATTAGGGGGATAAGGTAAAAGAGAGTAGGTAGGTAGTAAGAATTTAAGATTTTGTCACCCTTTCTTTAGCACAGCTTCTGTGCTAGCCAGTAAAGTTTTATGTTTCAGGAATTCTGTTTCCTCAGTTCCCACGTTTTTAAGTTTATGGCATGAAGATGCACCCCTTTGTTTTGGTTGTCATAAGTGAAATTCTGGCTTTTAAATAGTATTACCTCATCAGTTGCTAGGATCTGGAGTCTTCACACTATCATTCTGACATTTTCACTTAGTGTAATTTAACTTGAATTTTATTTTTAGGAGGCGTCTGCAAACCAAAGCTCATCACCAAGTCCAGCAACAGGAAGTCTAAGTCCCCCATTCCTGGGCAGGGCTACCTGGGAGCTGAGAGACCCTCTTCTGTATCCTCCGTCCACTCAGAGGGTGATTACCACAGGCAGACACCAGGGTGGGCCTGGGAGGACAGGCCCTCTTCTACAGGTGAGAAGCTAGGTTTTACCTGGTAGAAAATGAGACTTAAAGCAATTCGTATGAATGCTTTGTTATCACTTCTGCAAAAAATCAGTAATGTTTATAGTTTGGAAAACTATATTCCCATTTCTGTATCATTTATTAATTGGCTCTACGTTGCAGAATAGAAATTGAATGCATATAATCTTGAAACTTTTTTTTTTTGGTACTGGGGATCGAACTCTGGTCCTTGTGCCTGCACAGCAGGCGGCGAAACAACTGAGCTAAATCCCCGGCCCTAATCTTCAAACTTTTAATGCAAGGTCTGACAGAGAGCTGTGAAAAAGTAATCTTATCCATTCTCCGTACTTCTGTATTGTGCTTGTTGGTAACCAGCATTTACTGTTTTCAAAGCAACAGTCTACATGAATACCACCTAAATATTAAATACTACTTCTAAGGCAACTTTACCTATTCTCAAGAGAAGGCTCTTGGAAAATACCAAAAAATCAAAATCAGAAATAAAACAGTTTTAAAAAGTCATCTGTCTGTGGGTTAACTATGTTTTCCTTTTGTGCCTTTTTATAAACTTACAACTGTGATAATGGTAGATTTAAAAAGGAACAGTCTTTTTTAATAAAACTAAGATATTTGCTATAAATTTCAGGGTTTCTGAGAATTGTATGCTGTCCTTTTCTTAGCAGGTTAAACACACACATATGTCACACACACACAAAATCTGAACTGTCCCCTCTCCCTTATGACATAAAAACAAGCTGGGTATGGTTGTGCACACCTATAATTCCAGCATTCAGGAGGCTCAGGCGAAAGGATCACTGCGAATTCTAGGCTACATAATGAGTTCAAGGCCATCCTGAGCGACATAGCAAGATACCTGTCTCAAACAAAAGATGTAATTCATATAATTACTAGTACAGTTTAAGGCTTTTCCCTTATAAAATTTTTATGCCACATGAAAATTAATAAGTATTAGTTTATTGCTGCTTCTCTGATATCTCTTAGTAAAGGAGGTATTATAAGACCACACAGGAGATTACTTGATAAAATGGTTTTATGGGTTTAGTTTTTTAAGCTGTAAGAGGTGTTCTGGGGACAATTTATCCATCTAGAAATCCACAAAAGGTAGCAGTGCTCATTTGTCCCACTTGTAGATCTATTCAGTAAGATTCTGTAGATCACACACATCTTGCTGCCTCTCCGTCTGAAGTTCCTGGGTACTTGTACCCTTACCTTCTGAAAACTCTACTACTCCATTTGTTGTATAAAATCAAGGAAGATCTTACTGTAACCTGACTTTATTTCAGTTACAGCTTAATATTCCATAGTTCCACTTAGTCCAGCCCTGGAGTTTTCTCTTCTGGGCCCAGCAACCCTCTCTCATTTGCTTATTCAATGCTATTTGTCCTTTATAGACTTGGACTGATTGCTGCATATCATTGGCTAGAATCTTAAGTGGTGAAACCTTGGCCCTTCTATGTTGTGTTAATTTTGTTTTTGTTGTGTTACACAAACAGATTGTGTTGTCTTATCCTATAATGGTTGGATTAGATGAAACAGCAAGTATGCTTATAACACTTAAAACTCTAATTTTTCTTTTGTCAGGCTCAACTCAGTTTCCCTATAACCCTCTGACCATGCGGATGCTCAGCAGTACACCACCAACACCGATTGCATGTGCTCCCTCTGCTGTGAACCAAGCAGCCCCTCACCAACAGACCAGGATCTGGGAGCGGGAGCCCGCCCCTCTACTCTCCGCACAATATGAGACGCTGTCTGATAGTGACGATTGAACTGCACAGAAAGGGGCATTGGGGTCAGGGCCCAGAGAAAGCGCTCCAGTTTCTGGTGGTTTCATTTTAATTATAGGTTAAAACCCAGCCTTCCTGTGACTGTGCCCAAAGACCTTTCAGAAGATCCAGGGCCACAGAGATGAAGAAATGATGGAAATTCATTTGTGAAGTCAAATGGGAGAAAACAAAAACCTGCCTTTGATATAGGCAATTCAGTGGATTATAATAATAGTGGAGGGTTGAAATGTAGAATTTTTAAAAAGTGGACAATTCCTGTTCTTACATCTGTTTGTAAAGAGAAAAAAAAATCACTGTTCTGTAAATAGATGACCTTTTTGCAGTGTATCCCCTTGCTGTAGTATTTGGTGTACTTATGTTCAAATCAGCGCATCAACATTGGGGATAATTTTTAAAAATCTTTTTGTCTATCTTTTTAACCCTTGCCTTCTAAACAACCTCATACAGCCCATTTACATAATGTTGGCTGTCACGGGCATTGTACTTTTATCTGATTTTCTTTCCTTTAAATTCAGCTTCCCAGTGATGTTTAAAATCTTGTGAAAATGTTTAATTTTTTACACAGACCCTGCTATAAAACCTGTACATTAGGGTCAAAAAGTAGGAGCAACAAAATTCTGCCATATTGTAAATTTCCAGTGTAGGCTTTAATTTTTCATTAGTAGCACTGAAAAAATACTATTGCATGGGTATGTTATACTTCAGTTTTAAAGTTTTAAAGGCTTATTTGAGGCATACCTCACTGTTATGCACACTGGTAATTTAACCATGCCCCTAAATACTCCTTTTCTTCTGCATTTGATGCAGCCCAACAAAGCTTTTGTTTTGAAATAAATATAACTGCCCTGTCCATAGCTACAATAGATTGTGATTTAAGACTCTTGGTGTCTCAGGTTTCAAGGAAAAATAATTTTTCTTCAATTTGATATATATGATTGGTTGAGTTTAAAGAATGATCTATATATTATCTCAGTCTTTTTTACTTGCTTTGGTACTGCATCCTGAACAAATATTTCCCGCCTCTGTCAGCGCCTACTTCAGGAATTCACTGTTAATGTTTTCACTTTACAGATCTGCAAGGTGCAAATAATGTAGAAGATTGAATTCTAACCTAATTGTGGTACGGGGGTCAATTTTATCCCTATTTAAGATTTGTTGAATTTTCAGGGTTTTTTTTTTCATATAATTAATAGCATTTAAGCATCCTTCAGTAGCATACTTTTTTTTCCACTAACTATGGGAGAATGCCACTCATAACTGGAAAGGCGAAAAAGAGGTCTCTCAGGATGATACAAACTAGCACTTTACAGATTTTCAAGTAAACCAAAACTTCTAAACAAAAGTACTCAATCCTCTTAAGGAAGCAGTTCTACAATTAACCACTGACTGACACCCTCCTATCACTAGCAGCACTGTTGTCTAATTCCTGTTTTACAGATGAAGACAGGCTTAATAATGCTTTACTCATATAATTCAGTAAGTGACAAACACAGGCCATTGCTCATGTTTGTCTAGCGTCGAGGCCTTCATGCTTGTCACTGTTCTGCTCTTGTACACTTGACGTCCTCAAAGCAAACTTTAGATCAGAATTAGTGGTCAGAGTTCCTATTACTTGGAAAGTTGGTATCTTTCTAATAATATTTACAGGTATAATTAATTATACCATGAATGAAAGTGATGACTAAAAAGTGATGACTAAATGTTCTAAACAGTTTTCTCCTCAGTTTTTTTCAGGTACCAGTAATATTCTAGAACTTAATAATTGCTAACTGGCCCAAAAAAGGAACATGTTATTTTTCTGTAACCCTGAGCATCTTAAATCTATTTAGAGTCAGACTAGAGCCTAACTTTAGTTAGTTTTACAGTTCTAGTTGAGAACCCCAAGGTGAGCTGATGCTAACCACTCACTCCACTCTCATCATAGCACTTGGGTGACTATACTTCACCTACCATCACTTGGAGAAGAAATTTCAGAATAGGAGATAAACTCCAGTATCACTTCTTAGTTAAAAGTGATGAAAGGGTAGAATTCTCATACAGCTTGCTTATTTATGGAACAAACCCTGAGAGAGGTGGAAGTTCATCTTACCATGATGCCAACAGCAAATACAGCTCTGACAGTGGCTGATGACTTGCGAAGCCAGCTACAAACCAAGGCTTATAACTCTGTAGGCTTAGAGTCAGCATTTTGATGCTGTATCTTTAGGCCTGACTTTTTAGTACTGATAACTAAACTAAGGTCTTCCAACCCTATTCATAGGAATACTATAATGACAGCCAATTTTCCAGTGCATGTTTACAGTTGGGAATTTCATAAATGCTTTAATTTTGAAATGTTGATTCTACTTTAAATATATTTATGCCCTGAATACTCCAAAGACAGTACAGAAATTTACACTATTTTAAACATTTCAATTCAAACCAGTAAAGGAGATCAATGCTCCTTTTGCTTCACTACCTTGTTTTACACCAGCGCAAATGAACTTCGATGAGAATACCCACAGGTACAGACTGTCATTTTGAAAACTACTAGTTTTTCCAGAAGTGGGACCATGAGCTCACTCATTGTAGAAGACTAAAAACTCTTAAATAAAACATGGAGTTAAAAACCTAACTTTTAGTACCCTTGCAATTGTGAAAAAGTAAAAAGATTCTCAATACACAAGGTGAGTGGTTGACAATTTTTTTTTTAAAATAAAGACTGGATTGCACTGAAAATCTAATCATCGCTCAGATTTAGATTTGATTGATGGAATTAGCTGGGTGGTAAGTAATAAGCCTAGATAAAAAGCAGGAAGAAATTTGTATCTGCAAAATACAAAATTCTGTTTCTAGTTTAACCCTTGAGGATTTGAATCTCAGGGTTTCTATTTTGTTTTTATTAACTTCAAGTTATTTTTCTGAGTAACCCAAAGATTACTGGAATACATACAGTACTGGTATAGAGTTTCTAGTTTATTACGAAAAGATTCTTCAGTATATACATAAGAACCAAAAATAGCAGTTTACCAATTCCACCCCCCCCACGCATATCAACAATATCAGTGTTCCTTTGCAGTACCTAGAAAAACTGTCTCCCCTCCCCCCAGACAAATGGCTAGCTGCAAGGCTGCTGAAGAGCATCAATCTGTGTATCTTGTATTTACATATTTTGAGGCAGTGTGATAAATCTCTTTCAACATAGTAGTCTATTCATTTAAAAGTCATACGACCAGATTCTTTCTCCCATGGCTAAGAAAGAATCTTGTTTATTCCTCGCTTGTAGGTGAGGATACTGAGATTCCAAAATCAGAAAGCCAGGACTACGATCCAGGTCAGTGGCTCTACTTTACCAACACACACATCAGAATTACTGGTTTTTAAATCTACACTTGTAAAACCCTAATGTGAAGGTCTAAGTACAGTCCAGGTGTATCTTTAAAAGAGGACCACTTGTGACCACAGCTACAAATAGTATTGAATGCTCAGTATTGATGAGCAAGAGGTTACATCATTCCTCCCCACCACCACCACCATTTTTAATGGCTACATAAAACCAGGCACATAGTTCACCTTTATTAATAACCAAGTGGGTACTATATTCACAAGTGCCCAACGTTCACTTTAAAACTTCATGTGGAGTGCTGGTGGCAATGTTCCTTTATGCATTAAATCCCACACTGTGCTTCATGAAATAGTTTGTAATAGAAATAACTCACCATAATCCCCCTCTGCCATGAGATAAGTAGCTTGGTCTGCCAAGTATTGATGAAGAGAAGAAAGGGCATAAATCAGTGAACCAAAATCTTATGGTAGAGATAACCAAGTATAATTACCATACCCAAAGGAAAACTGGCCCATCTCCATCTGTAATTAGACTAGCATGAACACCACCTAGTTACAATAGAAATCATCACTCAACATCAGTCCTTAGAAGTCACAATTAGTTGGGTCAAAGTTATTTTTCCTTTCAAAACAAAAGTGGCAGTGTATACAACTTGTCCTTCACCAAGGCTATATGGAAGAAACCTGAATTAACAATAGAGAACAAAGGATTTACATGATTGATCTGGGTACCACAGACATTGAAGTAACTATTCCTGTTGGTTACCAGAAATTATTCTCCCCACAACAAAAATAGATTTAGAGCGTGACAAAGTTAAGTCAAAGATCTTTTTCTCAACAGCTCAGCCAATTCTTCCCTGATGTGCTGTATAGAAACCTCATCTCTTTTCAGCTCTGCTTGCTTCAGTGCTTCCTGGTAGATCTCTTTTGCTTGTGTGTATCGTTCTAAAATAACCCAAAGAAAAGGAAGAAGAAAATGTGTGTTTTCAAAGTGACTATGAAGAGATAGTACTAATGAGGATACAGGTCTAATTTGCTGTGTGCTTACTAAGTGATAGGCTGATCCTGCTTCATTTCAACAAGCTGCCTTAGGGCAGATCTGACCCTGGTCTAAGAACTCCAAGCCACTGAGTGCTGTCGGATTCCTAACTGCCTTTTCTGAGACACACTGGAGCCTTCACTAAACCAACCAAGGACTTCATAATGGTCTTCCATATAGTAGCTGTCATCCAGGCTTAGTGAAAATGATAGTTGAACACCTAAGCAATATACTGTAGAGTGATGACACTCGGTCCCTATCATGCCAGCTTCACCAGCACAGTATGCAAAATAAATTGAAATGTGAGAACATATAGGAATCTGTAAAGCACTACTGAAATAAGATACTGGGCTGGGGATTTAGCTCAGTGGTGCCGAACCTGCCTAGCAAGGGCAAGGTCCTGAGTTCAATTCCGGGTAACCAAAAATAAATAAATGAATGAATGAATGAATGAAATAAGATACCATCATTGCAGAGTTTTCTGTAAACTTTATACAGTTCATCAGGCTAGTGCAGACATAGGAGTTATGTGATTAAGGGAAATGGTAATTCAACCTAACATTTCTATCCTTCAACCAGCTTTTTTAAATTACGAATTTCCTCATTGCCTCTTGCCCTCCCTAAACACCTTTTCACAAATCTATCTATAAACCCAGTAACATCCCTTTGTAAAGCAAATCAGTCAAGTTTCCTTTGCTACCTACCTCTGTGTATCAAAATTGCAGCTAGATTACTGAGTACCATGTGCAGCTCGGGATGATTTATCTGTCTTGCCAGATCTGATGCTCTTTGCATATAAACATAGGCCTCATCAAAGTGGCCCTGTGCATCCAAGGTAGTAGCCAGGTCACTCATCAGCACAATTGTCTGCAGATTGAAAACAGAAACAACTAGCTTTTCCTTTAAAAACACATCTACACAGAATGTTAATTTGACATTTGTTAAATTGTGAGTATACACAATTTTTATCTTTCCTAACATTCCATAAAAGGTAAAGGCAAGTCTTTAACAATTTGTAGGCAGTTGTTATTCAGTATAGTAGACAGTATTAATTCAACTCTGACAAATGATACACAAATCAGGGACAGGTTGAGTTTTATTACTCTACCTATTCTATTAGAAGCATCAAATGAAAATTAAGGACAAAAATAAGCTATAATATCTGACTGAAGGTTCAGCAATTTTGAGAAGTCAGCCTCCCAGCATCTGGCTGCCTCCAGAGCCTTACTGTATTATAACATCATTCCTGCTGGTGATCTTGAGGCTCATCAAAATAAAAAGAAACATCTGTTTTATGAAGAGTCTCATTAAGAGTATTTAAATTTTTGGTACTAAGAAAGATATTACAAGCTTCCATACTTTACCTTCACTGAAGCTATACTTTTGGCCCTGTGATTCTTGTACTTGGTAATCTGAATTGTTTGCTTTCTTATCTTCATGAAAGTCCCCTTAGTGCACACTCAGTAACATGTCCAAAATTCCTTTCCTGGAGATCATTCAAAGCTCAAATTATCTTCCCAGACACTTACTTTTCAGCTCAGTGAAAAATCTGTCTTATGGTTGTGGCTGGAAGCATTCACAGACAAAGGAATCCCCTCCTTACCTCTAAGAATTACTCTGATTAGAAGTCAGATTTCAATTCAATGTATTAAGAGTTCTAACAACGTTTTGCATGTTGTGCTTAAATTCTATAATACTACATCAGTGTTTTAAAATTTAATGTAGTCCCTCTTTTCCTCACTCCTTTAACTGTGGTAAAAGGGAGGGAAGGAAACTCATGTATTAACCTTTTTTTTTGGTACTGAGGATTAAACATGGGACCTTGTGCTTTCGAGGCAGGCGCCAGAACCACTAAGCCAAATCCCCGGCCCTAACCTGATTTTTCTAAAGGAATGTCTGCAGAGTCTGTTCAGCACAGGTTTTATACTCTGAAGCTACAGAAGCACAAGGTGCCTGGTTAGACTTGCCTCAAAGAAAGATTGGTCTCTTGTTCAAACCATGAGTCATGCAATGGGTTCTGGGCAGACCTGATTAGCAATCTAAAATCCTTTCTGAAACATGTAATTGAGTGCACGTGGGGTGCTAGTAACAAACTGAATGGACTAGGCTTGAGGATACACCAACTAATTTTTATTCCCAGTAAGTGTGGCATTTCAGTCCCACAGTTTCTCAAAACTGTATTTTCCTTTGTTACCTGTGGGTGTCTTTCTCCTTGTATTTCTTCAGAAATCTGCAGAGCTTTTTCATACATCCTTTGTGCCTGTGATGGCTGTTTGGAAAATAGAAGGTATCGTGCACAGGCATCTAGGCACATGCCCAGAAGGAGGTGGGTATTAGCTTTTTCTTCCACTAAGAAGGAAATAAGAACATTGTGCAGCTATAACAAGCATTTTATAGAAGAAGGCAAGGCAGAGTTAGCCAACCTACCTCATCATTTTGGTTATAAGGACCCACAAGTGTTTCAGGTTACTTACGTTATACAGAAAGAAGACAATTTAGGTGGTTTAAAATCCAATTAAATGACATGCTGGACTAGCTAAAAATCATGGAATTTCCCCACACACATTTTAAGTAGATTAACATTCCAAAAATCAATGAAATGTGAAACTAGTAATTTATCAAAAGAAATAGATAAACCCAAAGTAGAAAGAGTTAACAAAAGTCTAGGACTGGGCCGGGGATTTAGTTCAGTGGTTCCCCTGCCTGCCCCGCAAGTGCAAGGACCTGAATTTGATCCCTGGTACCCACCGCCCCAAAAAAGTCTAGGACCAATGAAAAATCTCTAAGGTGAAAAAAATAAATTGCAGGAAGAAACCAGAGAATGCTCAAAATTCTGAATGGAAAGTCTCAAGCCAAATTTAAAGAACAGTTTCTATAGTTTTCAAGAAGATTAATAAAGGCTGGAATATTCCAAAACATTACAGAATGAACCACACAATATCTGAAAAGGAATAAACTTAAAACATGTGAATAAATGTAAAACACCTAACACCACATAAAAACTGAAGAAAGCAGATCTAGAGACCAGTAACCAGTAGTGACTTACACAGAGACTTCTGAAAGATGAACCAAATAATGTGGAGAAGATAATACAGTGTTAAATGTAAATACTGCCAAAAATAAGCAAAAAATAAACGTTCATATAAAGGACTACAAAAAAGAGGTTGCTCTGAATCTTATGTAATAAAATTAGAAGATGACTAAAGCTACCATTCATAGCAACTCTCTCTTTCCGTATCTTTGAAGTTTTCAAAAAATTCAGAAATGGCACACAATTTAAAGACTATGTTACTAATAAAACTATGATCAATTATTGAGAGAGTTTAAATAAAACACAGTTATAGTGGATGAAGACAGCTATTGGGATAATATCAGAGGATGAAAGTGAAAAAATGAAGCTTTGCTTCCAGCAGAAATCTAAAGTTACTTGCTTTTGTTTAGTGATATATAAGAGGTCAATACTAATCTTTTAAAAATCAAGTTAGGAGGGCCGGGGATTTAGCTCAGTGGTTTTGCTGCCTGCTACGCAAACGCAAGGACCAGAGTTCGATCCCCGGTACCAGAAAAAAAAAAAAAAAAACCAAGTTAGGAGTAGTTTTAGACGTCTTACAAATTTATGAAACAATGTTCAAGAAAATTATTTTTGTAAATATAGTCTATTAATTTATGGATAAATATAACTGATTGGAAAATGTCCCATGTAAAGACACTATGTTTCTCTACTAAAAGAGAATATTAAAACAAAAAACTATAATGAACACTAAAAGGCTAAGCAAAAAAAAATTTAAATACTGAGTAAAAACTTAGCAAATAGCAGCTTAGTATTTATAATAATGAGATTAAATTATTATATAAAAAAAGCAGTCAAAATGAAAAAAATGCAGTAAATTTCCATGCTCCTTCAAGTACAAACAAGTCCATGTAGATAAATGATTTGTAACAAATTTGAGAAGTGTTGAAATACTGTGCGGCTACTAAAATTTATATTCTCTGAAAACATTTAAAGACAAAAAAAACCTGTTCAACGTGAATAATATCACAGAACAACATGTATGATTATTCTAATTCTAGACACTATAGAATATGCTCCAAAAGTAATAGCTGAATTATCTTTCTGAGATTTGTGTTGTCTTTAGATGTTACTGTGGTTTTAAAAAATATTATCTTTTACAGTTCATAATTAGATATGTTCAATGGTGTTACTTCAAAAGTACAAGAATACAGGGCTGGAAATGTAGCTCAGTTGTACAGTCCTTGCCTAGCATGCATGGTTCTGGGTTCCAGCTCCACACTGCTGAAAACAAACCCTACGTATGTACAAGAATAAAGTGACAAGTGATTCTAGTAGAAAACTATTACTCCTGTTATTAGGAATGGCAATTAACTATAGAGTGGAAGAAAAGACAGAAAGCATAATTAATGAGGTATAATTCTAGCTATATTTCTATGAAGCACCAGGTGTGGGTGCATGCCTGTGATCCCAGCACTTGGGAGGCTGAGGCAGGAGGATTGCCATGAGTTCAAGGCCCACCTGGAATACATAGTTCAAGAACAGCCTGAGCTACATAGTGAGACCCTGTCTCAAAAAACAAAAAAAGGGCCGGGGATTTAGCTCAGTGGCACTGCTCCTGCCTCGCAAGCACAAGGTCCTGAGTTTGATCCCTAGTACCACAAAAAATACGAAGAATGTTCTGACCCCATAAATAGAAATACCTTGTTAAAAGCCTATACTAAAAATATGACCAAGGAAGAAATAAAAGTCCACTGTAACAGAACTTTCAAAAAATAAAAAGCCTCCAGGGCTGGGGATCTAGCTCAGTGGTTCAGCCGCCTGCCTCGCAAGTACAAGGTCCCAAGTTTGATCCCCAGTACCAAAACAAAAAGCCTCTATAAGAAAACTGTTAGAATACTACCAAGAGAAAAATCTCACAGATTTAATCAAGTATTGAAAAAGAGCTCCCTTAGAAATAATTTGTGTGTGTGTGTGTGTATGTGTGTGTTATCAGGGATCGAACTTAGGACCTTGTGCTTGGAAGGCAGGCACAGTGCCACTAAGCTAAGTCTCCGGCCCCTAGAAATAATTGATTGAAATATAATTCTTAAAATAATAATACAAAAAATGCTAAAAGATAAGAAAATCAGACAGCTTAATAACAACTGACAATAAACTGAAGTTGTTTATATGAAGCCCCCAAAGAATCACTTGAACCCGGGGAAAGGGGCATTCTTCAAACATTGTATTTTTCATGAATTATTTCTAGTTACAGAAAAAGATACACTACTGAAAAGTCAGTACATGAACCCAGGCACGGTAGCACATGGCTGTAATCCCAGCACTCTGGGAGATGACACAAGAGAATGCCCAACTTGGGCAACTTAGTGATATAGTAAGATCCCATCTCAAAAAGAAAAAAAAAACCTAGTATCTGAAGAAACCAGGATTCATTACAGAAACTTTTACTCAAAATACAGCCAAAGAGAATTCCCAAGTGTAGCATACTGTACTAAGGTGATCAAGCAGCATTATTCCTGGAACACCACAGCAGACATGCAGTTCAGCAAGCAAACAGGGCCTCTATGCTACAAAAACTGCTTTCAGTATCAACATGGACAAATTTCAACATTTAAAAAAAAAAAAATTCAACAGCATTTTGTTGTCTGAAAAGAACAGCTTGCAGAAACAACTGTATAGTATACCACATTAACTACTGTATATTGTTTATATATATATATATATGTAATAAATAGGTGAACAAGACCAAATTCAGGAGAGTAGTTCCACCTAGGCAAGGAGAGGAGGGTTTACAGCAATTAACGTCCCCCCTCAAAAAAACCCCACAAAAACACCTTTGAAGCATATATGGCAAAATTCTGAAATCTGACAAAGCTGAGGCAAAGGTAAAAAGGTTATTTGTTAAATTTTACACATTTATGCTTGAAAATTTCTTATTTTAACAAAGCAGAAGAAGAAAACCACAGGACTGACCCTTCTGAATAATAAATCAGTATAAATTATACTGATAAATAATAAATCAGTATAAATATATCAATAATACATTTTATTCTGAAAATAAACTGGGATACAAGTTGAAGAAATGCCCAAAATATGGACAAGAAAACTGGTGGAAGACAGGATGAATATGAAAGACAGAAGAGAGAAGCAAACATTCTGGTAAATAACATTCCTAAGTAAAAGTCCAGAGCAAATTGAACAGTCATTAAAGACAAGTTCCAGAGGCTCAAGAGACCTGGTCCTAAAAACATTCACCAAAGGAGCAGATGATTCTAATGGAGACAACTCCTTCATCATGTGCTGGTTTCTTACAAATCATCCAGGCAGGAGGAAATAGACTACCTACAAAACAGGCAAACAAGATGGCTTCAAAATCCTCCATGATAAATTTCATTAAGTCTAAAATTCTAGATTTTATTAGTCTAAAATTAAGTCTAAATTTCTAAATACAGAAAAATTAGGATTTCCAAATCACAGGGAAAAGGGACAGGCAGAATGTCAAATTGTACTTATCTTACAGAAGACTTTGAAAACAGCTGTTTTTTAGCCTCCCAAGTACTGGGATTACAGGCATGCCCCACCACACTCAGCTGAGTCTCAGGTTTTTAAAAGAATCCAACCACAGCTTTCAACGAAAGGCACTGAAAAATGACTTAGAAAACTTGAAGATACAGTAGATAACAGAAATCTAAAATCTAATAAATACCCTAAAGAGAAAAATTTGACAACTCACAATAAAGATATATACAGCCTAACCAGATCAAAGAAAAAAATATTTTTTTCTAGAAAAACTAGATGAAATCAGTAATGACACTATTAGCCAACTAGACCTAACAAGAAAACATACATTCCTCTCATATGCATATTTGAGAGGCCATAAAACAAATCTCAATAAATTTAGAAGGACCAAAATGCACGGGCCTTCCTGGTGTGGTGGCACATGCCTGTAATCTCAGCACTCCAGAGGCTGAGGCAGGAGGACTGCCGAAAGTTTGAGGCCAGTCTGGGCTACATAGTAAGATCCTGTCTCAAAAAGGAAAAGCACTGGCCAATCACAGTGAAATGAACTGAGAACAACAGAAGGAAATTTGGGGAATTCACAAACATTTAGAAATTAATACACTCCAAAAATCTTGAGAAATACTTTGAAACTCATAAAAATAAATGTGTAACATACCAAAATTTATGGGGTGCAGGTAAAGCTTACAGTTATAAAGGCCATTGCCGGAAGTGAAAAAAATATTAAATCTGTTAAATTTTTACCTAACAACAACAAAAAAGTTATAAAACTAGCTCTTTGAAAAGATCAACAAAATTGACAAAAACCAAGGGAAAA